GAACTTTTGCCCAATTTATTTAGGCGATACGGGACATTGTGCACACACTTTTTTCTTCATCGATTGAGTAATATCTGTCCATTTTTAAAATTTTAAATCACAACATATGCAGTAAAAAATATAAAATTTTATTTCAAATTTAAATATGGGAGACTCACAAAAATGCCCCTTTTTCAATACCCCTTTTCAAAAATACCCCCTTTGGCTGTCTATTTTTAAAAATACCCCTTTTTATGTACAAAATGACTAAATTACCCTACTTTTAATAAAAGATATCACAAATATATAAGGAAAACATGAGAATGTGCACACATCAAAATTACAAATTTGATTTTGTAAAACTTGTAAAACCTGTAAAATACCTTGTAAAATTTTTTAGTAAAATTTTTTTCCGCCAAAAAATTTTTTTGCGGGAAAAGTGATTCCGTATTTTTTTGGCGGGAAAAATTTACAAGGTATTTTAAAGGTTTTTTACAGGGTATTTATAAGGTTTTACAATGTATTTCAAAAGGTTTTACAACGTATTTATAAGGTATTTATAAGATATTATAAGATTTTACAAGCTATTTTATAAGGTTTTACAAGTTATAAATACCTTATAAAACCTTATAAGTACCTTGTAAAACCTTTTAAAATACATTGTAAAACTTTTCAAAACACTTGTAAATACTCTGTAAAACCTTTAAAAAACCTTGTAAATTTTTCCAGCAAAAAAATTTCCCACCAAAAAAATTGCGGAATCACTTTTCCCGAAAAAAAAAAAATTGGCGGGAAAATTGCGGGATCACGTTTCCCGCCAAAAATTTGCGGGATCACTTTTTCCGCCAAAAAATATTTTGTATTTTGTGGACCTAATTTTATTTCAAATAAGGGTAAAATGATCATTAAAAATTAAAAAAGGGCAAACTTAAAAATGGACTCTCAAATGGGGCATTTTTGAAAAGGAGTATTGAAAAAGGGGCATTTTTAACAATTTCTCTTTAAATATTATAATTATTTAAAAAATTTAAAAAGTTAAAATTTATAAATGTTTAATATATTTATAATATTAAAACTTTTATTAAGTTTCAAATATTATAAATATTTGAACTTTATAAAAATTTTAAACATTAAAATTTATAAGAATTTTAAACACTATAAATATTTAAACTTTATAAAGAATTTCAAGTATTTATAATATTTAAATTCTATAAATTTTTTATAATATTAATAATATTTGAACTGTATAAAAATTAAAAATCTATATATGATAGCAATCTCAATAAATACTTTTTGCACTTCTGAACGGTTGTGTCTTTTTAACGCAACTTTCCGTTAAAATATTGACGGTTATTAATAAAAATAATTTTATATGTAGTCTAATGGTTTATGTAAAAAAGATTCGTAGTATTACTAACTAAACAAAAAATGCAATGAAAATATATAATGGAAAGACGTAACTTTAAATGAATAAATGGAATGTAATTGAACAAATATAACCGTAAACTGAAAAGATACGATTGTAATTGAACAAATATAACTGTAACTAATTCAACGGAAACTCAAAGAAAAAACTCAATAAAAAGATACAAACGTAAATATTTAAAATAAAAGGTTGCAAAAAAAAAAAACACAACCGTTCAGAGGTGCAAAATGTATTTATTGAGATTGCTATTATATATAAACTAATCTATATATATAATGGGAGAGTTTTCTCTCCATCTAGGCTATCCACATCATCATCCACCTAAGCATGCATCTAATTAAAAATTAAAAATTAGAATTTATTTAAAATATTCATTCAATACATATTTATTTTTATTTATACTTTTATGATTAAAAATATTTAAGTTAATACAAATGAATTAATAGTATAAGTAAAAAATAGAGAAATATAAATTTATACATAATAATACTCCCTCCGTTTTCGAATAGTTGTCGTTTTAGAGTTTTTTTGTTTTAAATTAGTTGTCGTTTTAAGGTAATAATGTATTTTATGCCAATAACTACTCAAATTACCCTCATTTTATTGAACACAAATTATTTGTAAATAATTATTTGTCATTTTTATGAGGTTAATATAGTCATTGTATAACTTTTCTTAATGAGAAATTGTTAAAAATGCCCCTTTTTCAATATCCCTTTTCAAAAATGCCCCCTTTGAGAGTCCATTTTTAAGTTTGCCCTCTTTCAATTTTTAATGACCATTTTACCCTTATTTGAAACAAAATTAGGTCCACAAAATACAAAATATTTTTTGGCGGGAAAATTGATCCCGCAATTTTTCCGCCAAAACACTTGTAAAAATCTTTAAAATTTTTTTGTAAAATTTTCCCGCCAAAAAATTTTTTTTGCGGGAAAAGTGATTCCGCAATTTTCTTGGCGGGAAAAATTTACAAGGTATTTTAAAGGTTTTTACAGAGTATTTACAAGTGTTTTGTAAGGTTTTACAATGTATTTTAAAAGGTTTTACAAGGTACTTATAAGGTTTTATAAGGTATTTATAACTTGTAAAACTTTATAAAAAACTTATAAAACCTTATAACTTGTAAAACCTTATAAAATAACTTGTAAAATCTTATAATATCTTATAAATACCTTATAAATACATTCTAAAACCTTTTAAAATACATGTAAAACCTTATAAATACCCTGTAAAAAACCTTTAAAACACCTTGTAAATTTTTCCCGCCAAAAAAATTGCGGAATCACTTTTCCCGCAAAAAACTTTTTTGGCGTGAAAATTTTACAAGGTATTTTAAAGGTTTTACAAGTTTTTACAAAATCAAATTTGTAATTTTGATGTGTGCACATTCTCATGTTTTCCTTATATATTTGTGATATTTTTTATTAAAAGAAAGGTAATTTAGTCATTTTGTACATAAAAAGGGGTATTTTTAAAAATGGACAGCCAAATGGGGCATTTTTGAAAAGGGGTATTGAAAAAGGGGCATTTTTGTGAGTCTCCCTTTCTTAATTTGTCTAAATACAGTTAAAACGACAACTTTAAAAAAACAGAGGGAGTATAATTTAAATTTTAGCGAGAAAAATGTTTAAGATTAATCATATTTAAAATTATATAAACATTTCCTTTTTAAAATTGATATATTAAAAATCAATATGATGGATATTTCAGTTTTAAAATTGATATATTCAAAATCAATATGATGGATATTTCAAAAATTGTATGAAAGTTGCAAGATCATACATTTATTAGCTTTCAAAAAAAAATATATAGTAATGAATCATGACATACTTAAAAATCAATATGTTGGGTAATTCTAAAATTGTATGAAAGTTGAAAAGACATACATTTTTCAGTTTTCAAAAATCTATATAGTGAATTAGTGATGAATCTTATGACATATTACTAATCAAAATAATAATTGATTAATTTGCTAATTACAGTAAACCAAATGTTAAAATATAGCTAAATAGTATCGTGTATAATAATTTAAAACAAAACTAATAAATAATTATGTATACTTTAAATTTTTAGCTTACCATAAATATAATATAAAATTATATTTGATAGTAATACAAACATTATGCACTTATTAAAAATATAAAAGTCTATTTTAAGAATATCAAAAATAGGTAGAAAGAGAAAAATTACAATATTGAATTTAATAAGATAGAAACAAAAAAATAAAAATAAAAATAAAAATAAAAATAATGAATATGAAAATATCGGAACTGAGTGACAAAATTATTCTCAGAAAGCTAAATTTCTAAAGAGAAGGCCAATATAAAAAATGAGATATAAATATATATATATATATATATATTCTTTTCTTTTTTGCTTCTAAATACAATAGATATAAATTGGAAAAAATAAATCATATTTAAAATATCACACCTGAGTTTCTAAAATTATAAAAGAAAATGTTATTCACAAGAATTCATGCACTAAAAGAGAAAATAGATAATGAACGGTTATAAGATACTAAGTCAATACAAAAGAAAAAAATGTTTAATATATGTAGCATATTATAAATAGACATGTAATTCTATACAATTATCATTTCTAACATTTATATTATATTTATATAACCGTTTTTTACGGATAAATCAATTACATATACTTTTCAAATAGTATTGTAGTAAAAATATTTAAAATAATATAATTTATAAAAAATTTAAAAAATTTAGTATATATTATTAAACCCATGCAACGCGTGGGTCCATTTCTAGTATAGATAGTATGGGAACCCATTAAAGTAAACTTTTAAATTGACATGAATTATATGTTTTTAAAATAAAAGTATTATTAAAAAAAAAAAACAAAATGATGTTTAATTTCACGAGACGGGATTATATGGTGGGACGAGTTTGTATCGATATTAATATAGGACGGTATACCATGGATGAAATCGTAGAATTAGCAATCAAAATACAATTATTCAATCTTAAACACTAAACAAAACAAACAATATTAACAAAACATATACAACTTAAAATTTAAAAATTTTAGTTATAAAAAATCGAAATCTATTTTTTTGTATTTTCGGTTATTTTTCCGATTAGTTTTGGATATTTTTGATATTTTGGGTATTTTCGGTTTGGTTACTTAAGGTATTTTTGGGTATTTCGTGTATTAGAGTTTTTTGGGTATTAATGTTTATTGGGTCTAAAAAAACTAATACTTTTAGATATATAATTGTATTCAGATATTTCAGGTACCCCGAAATATTTTGGTTCGATACCTGTTCCGATTTTTTTTGTTCTTAAGTTTAAGATCTATTCGAGTATTTTTTCGGTTTCGGTTCAGTTTGGTTCCTCTTTCTTTTTATTCATTTCTGTACAGTACTTTTGCTTTAAGTATTTTGCTCAGGGCTAGGAATCGCGATTCAAGAGAACAGACGAAAGCTATCTTCACTGAGGGTGAACTCGTGTGCATGAGAAACTGAAGAAATGTATGACCATGCCTTCACTTAATCAAACTTCGATGATTTGTGTGTCTTGCGTGTGTGTATATATATATATATATATATATATATATATATATATATATATATATCATTTACAACTGGTCTATCAACCTAACTAGGCATCACAAGATATTATTTTAAAGGGTAGATCATGTGAACAACATAGACAAAAAAACACGAGTTGGAAAAAGCCATGAGTGTCATGCTTAAGAAGTTTGAAGGAGAATATATAAATTTGCTTTTAAGATCATCCGATTATTTTACCACTACTACATTTTGTAGTCATATGAAGTATTCAAAATGTTTTTTATTTTATAAGGTTTTATAATCTTCTAGTTTATCCCCGTATTTGTTTTCTTATGGAAATACGGTGTAACGGTGGTGGCTCTTTACAAGGAAAACGGTGTTGACATGTGCAGAGAATTCCAAACGGTGTTGTCTTCAAGTCACTACAATCACAAATAGGAACGTCATATATATGCCCTTTGATAAGGTGGTCTACGCACGTCTTGTTTCCATCAGAACCACATTTAACATCGTACCATTGGATAACTTTACAATATGGCACCGGTTCCACCTCTATAATTTATACCAACAACAAAAATTGTTAAAACTATATATTGATAAAACGATTAAGATAAATAAATTAATGATGAAAGAAGATTAGCATTTTTCTTTTACCAAAACAACAATGCTTGCGATTTAAATTTTATCAAGAAAAAAAAAAAAAAATAGGTGCGATTTGTAACAATGGATCTCTTTGTATTGCGCGAGTAAAAAAAATCAAATCCAAAAGGAGAATAATTGCTTACCTTTACCTTTGACATGGCTTATAATGAGGAACATGAAAATACAAGAAAACACAAACAAACTAGCAAATCTCATTCTCATGATTCAACAAATTGTTAGTTAAAGTTTGCAGTTTTCTTTAGTCTCGTAATGAATGTAGTTTTTATATCAACACAAACAAACAATAGGGATTTATATTAAATCAGACAAAAAAGGGAAAACGGAATATGTGTTGGGGCAAATGGAAAACAATGAGATAACAAAGCTTAATGGCTTATTTCTATATATGAAAATTTCTTAGTAAAACTAGATTATTTACTATTTGAATATAATTGATTTTTTATTTACTTCCTTTGAACTAATTAGGGATATCTTAAGATTTTAGGGAAATAAATCTATCTATATATACTAATATATCTCCCTAATTAGAGAAAAAAAATCACAAACAATTGAAAATTTTACCAAGAATCTTCAACAATTACTACAAGAATCACTACAACCTTTCTCACATAAATATTAAGGGAAAACGGTCATTTCTCCTCTAAACTTAGTTGCTTTATCGTATTTATACACGGAACTTTGAAGTGTGCTTAAAACTACATGAACTTAACTAAAATTTGAATTTTCTACACGAACATTCTTAATCTGGTCAAACCCAACAAATCGAGAAACGAATATTCCGTTAACAGATGATGACTAGGATGCCACATTTGCATTTTACAGTGCCATGTGGAACCACGCCATGACGTCGTTTTATTTAAATACAACAAAGAATTTTGAAGAAAATATCACAATTTTTTTTATATAAATTAGAAAAACGACATCGTTTCGTGGTTCAACGTGGCATCCTAGTCATCATCTGTTAAAGGAACATTAACACCGTTTATCGATTTGTTGGTTTTGACCAGATTAAGATTGTTCTTGTAGGAAATTCAAATTTTAGTTAAGTTCATGTAGTTTTAAGCACACTTCAAAGTTCCGTGTATAAATACGATAAAGCAACTAAGTTTAGGGGGGAATTGACCGTTTTCCCTAAATATTAATATGGAGAACTTGCAAGATCAAGTCTAGCCTCACTTTCAAAAGCCATGAAAACAATTTCAACATAGCCCATTTTCATAATTCATTTGGCCGAGTTTACTAAACATGATCACCTTTTAATGATAACCAAGCAGGATTCCCGTAAAATCCAGAATTAACCTCAAACTACCAACCGGTCTACCAAACATCTTCCGCGCATCAACCTCAAGAGAGAAAGCTAGAGCTCATGATGAAACAACTCTTGAAGGGCAGAGTAAGAGTGCAATAAATTGAGCAAAAAAATAAATGAGATTTATAATAAAGTGAACGAAGTTCATAACAAGGTCAATGAAAGCTTGGCCTCTCAAGTCAAGTCCCTAGCCAGATCATCAGAATACTCAAAACCACCTCATATCTCAAGAGACAGATGGACACTACACACTAGTGCCTTACCAAAGTTTTAGAGGGTGTCTTACCTAGGTTCTTTTTTTTTTTTTTTTTTTTTGAATGCAATGTTAAATTATATTCAAAAGAAAAAATGTACGGTTTTACAACTTGTGCATCGGTTGGTTGAAACAAAATTTGAAGCAAAATTTGAAACTATTTTGACTATCTAGACCTCCCGTTGAAGCTTAGCTGCGAGCTTGAAGCCAGAGTTGGTACGCGTCGTCATACCTTCTGTCTCCCATAAGTCGGACTGCTGAGATTTGATTCCTTACATGTTTGTCAATCCACCCCGTGATGCGTTCAGCTGTTTGTGGGTTCTCTCCATGTCGCCGCCCATTCCTTTCTCTCCATATGGTATAGGTAACTGCTTGAAAAACATATCGAAAGAGGAAGCCCTCTACTCGGTTGAGCTGTGTGGAAGATATAATGTCAAGAAGAAGAAGCCAATCTGTTGTGTATCGAGTTTTGAGAAGCCCCTTTGCAAGGGCTGCCCAAATGGTAGAGCTGAAATCACAACCAAAAAAGAGATGATTCCGGGTTTCTAAACATCTATGACAAAGAACACATGTTCCTGCTCCGCCTTGCCATTTGATCATACGATCGCCAGTAGAGAGCCTGTTTTGAGCTGCTAACCACACACAAAAGGAGAATTTTGGTGTTGCGTGTGCAAACCAAACTCCCCGGTGCCATGAGACCGTGCTAGAGGTTATTCGGATATGATTCCAAGTATCTTTAGCTGAGAACTTCGGTTTAAAGATATCATTTTTCCCTCTCCATAGAACAGTGTCCCCTTGTTCCTTCCTTTTTTCCCGCTGCTCTTGTAACGCATCTTCCATTGCGTTGAGTGTGGCTGCCCGATGTCTTCTTCTCCTTCGATTTGACCAGGCAGCCGCTAGCGAGCTTGTTCTACTGATACCCATATCAATGACTCCTCGAGCACCCACAATATCTACCAATCTCCCCATTGAAGACCAATCATCATACCAGAAAGATGTAAGTTCTCCGTTTCCCACTTCCACCTTGCAGAACTGCTTTGCTACCTCTCTATACTTTAGGAGTTTTTTCCAAATCCAGGAACCCATATTAGTGCTGCTGTTGATGGACCAGAATGAAGTTTTCTTAAGAAGGTACATTTGGATCCACTTCACCCATAAAGAGTTGCCCTGAGATACTATGCGCCAGATAAGCTTTAGACAGCAAACATTGTTAGCTTCTTTGAGTGAACGCAGCCCTAGACCACCCTCCTGCTTCGGTTTACAAACATTCTCCCAAGATATCTTTGCTCTATGTGCATTCATATCCTTACCCGACCATAAAAAGGCTGAACACATTTTTTCTATGTCTTGAATGCACTCGTTTGGTAGTCTATACGCAGCCAACCAAAAATTACATACACTCCACAACACTGATGCAATTAGATTCAGCCGACCTGCAAATGATAGGAACCGTGATGTCCAAGACTCAATCCTTTTCCGAAGCTGCTCTACTAAAGGCATGCAATCTGCTCTTGAAAGCCGTTTTGTGACCAGGGGAAGGCCAAGATAACGGACTGGGAGCTGTCCAACCTCAAAAGGGAAACGAGTAGCCAGTTGTTGAATAGAAGGATTTGGTATACCTGCTAAATATAGGGTCGATTTCTCCATACTTATTTTCAATCCGGAGCAGCGAGCAAACTCATCAAAAACTGAGACAATACCTTCAACAGAACGCACTTTACCATCCGATAAAACCATGATATCGTCTGCAAAACTTAGGTGTGTGAGTCCCAACTTTTTGCAGTGTGGATGGTAGCCAAACTGCCTTGCATCCGCAGCTTTATCGAGCATTTTTGAGAGGATATCCATACTAATCACAAACAAGTACGGCGAGAGAGAGCAGCCCTGTCGTAGACCTCTTGAGCTTCGAAAATATCCAACCAATTCTCCATTTACCTGAACTGAGAAAGAAGCCGTAGTAACACATAGCATAATCCAATGAATAAATGTTGGTGGAAAATTCAGTGCCAAGAGAACTTTGTGTAGAAAAGACCATTGAACCGAGTCAAATGCTTTAGATAGATCAATCTTTATAGCACAGCGACTTGTGACAGATTCCTTATGGTAGTCCTTGACAAGTTCGGTAGCGAGCAGCACATTTTCAATCAATAAGCGGTCTTTAACAAATGCCGATTGATTGCCGGAGATAAATTTGGGGAGTACACCTTTGAGCCTGTTGGCGATGATTTTTGAAATGACCTTATATATCACATTGCAGCACGAGATAGGGCGGAAGTCTTTCATCTCTTTTGCACCTTTCTTTTTGGGTATGAGAGCCAATATGGTGGAGTTGATGCCCTTTGGTAGGAATCCTTTTGCAAAAAAAGATTGTACCGCTAGAATAAATTCTTTTCCAATTAGCTCCCAGGAAGCCTTGTAGAATTCTGAAGTGTATCCATCCGGTCCCGGAGATTTATCATTAGGCATACTGAATACAACCTTCTTGATTTTCTCCCCTGTAACCTCATGAGTTAACTTCTGTTGATCCAGATTTGTGCATCGAAATGGTAACAACTGCTGCAGTTTCTCAACCGTGATACCATCAAAATCTGCAGGTATATGTTGCAAAAAATCCTGGAAATGTCGTTCCGCTTCGGTTTTGATTTCAGCATCTTCAACTAGTACCCTACCATCGTGGCATAAAATTTCTTTGATACTATTTGTTGCTTCCCGCATTGCAGCCGCCCTATGAAACTGTTTATTATTTTTATCTCCGACCTGTAGCCAGTGAAGTTTTGATTTCTGCTTTAAGTACTTCTCCTCCAAACTAGACAGCAGCTCCCATCTATTATAAGCCACATTTTCCTCTTCCATAGATCTCACTGTTGGATTCGTCAGGTTGGCCTGTTGTTTTTGACAGAGAGTCTCATATGCCTCTTTTGTCTTCTTGACCAAATCTCCCACACGGTCTTTAGCCAAGCTACGAAGCATTGGCTTTAGTCCTTTTAATTTTTTCGAGAACCGGAACAACGTGGATGTGGATAAGAACAGCTCCTCAGAATCTTTCCAGAAATTGTTGACCGCCGGTAAAAACTCAGGCATCTCCGTTAATACATTTACAAACTTGAACGGTTTCCGGCGCTTTGGTACGTGACTTACTCCTCCAATTTGCATAATCCGACAACGTAAATGATCCGAGCAACCCCCTGCCTCAAAAACATTATACGCTTGTGGAAATGCCTTTAGCCAAGCATCATTCATTAACACTCTGTCCAGTTTCTTCAAAATTAAGTCGTTTTCCCGTTTGTTACACCAGGTGTAAAGGGGCCCATGAGAAGCCATGTCTGAAACTGAACAGTAATTCACTAGTTCCCGAAAGTCACGCATCCCCAACGTGACCAGCGGGTTAGTATCAACCCGAGAGTGCTCAGCCATATCCAAAGTAACGTTAAAATCTCCAAATATCAGCCACGGTTTGTTGCGGATAATAGGAGAATCAAAGTGATCACGGAGTTCCTGCCAAAGTACTTTCCTCTCTTCAACAAGATTGGAAGCATACACGAAAGAACAGAAAAATTCCTCCCCTTGATTTTCCAACTTGACCGAGCATGTAATTACTTGACCACTCTTATAAACAGGGCTCAATCGCACATTATTTTGCCAAAGAATCCAGATACGACCTCTGCGATTGTGTTCATAATTTGTCATTATGGACCAATTAGGAAACAGCTGACTTCCTAATCTTTGAGCCTTATTTTCCCTTACTCTTGTCTCAAGCAAACAACCAAACTGAAAATTATTTCCATCCACCCACTTCTTGATAACGGAATGTTTTGAAGATTTGTTTAAGCCGCGAACATTCCAAAAGAAACCCGACATTAATGATGTTTGGGGTTCTTCTTACTCAGATCTCTAGAGGGGTCTCTAGCCGATAGAGCATGAAGTTGAGAGCTTGTCTTATGAGCTGTTTTTGTACCTCGAGGCAAGGATGGTCGCAATGGAACCTCTGTCCGTGGAGGGCGAGTTTTCCCCGCATTTCCTTGCGTCCGAGTTGTCTCTGTCAACTGATCGTCTTGTTTGTCGGGTATGGATTCAGAGTTTGCTTCCTCTGTCTTTCCTTCTTCTGGTTTGTCTTCCTCTACGACCTCTTCTGCCTCCAAAATAGAGTAGGTGTTGGATAATATTGAGACCTCTCCGTACGTTAAACTCTTTTGCTTCTGACTGGGACTTGCACGCCCTGATTTGGGAGTTATCCATCCCTCCATCGACTCCTCTGTTTTTTCTGTAGCTAAATCTTGGTTTCTACTCTGCAACTCTTTCTCCTCTGTTTCAATACCCGTGGCGACCAAATCTGCAGCGTCCCCATCCTTTGGTCCATCAATTTTTCCTGTTTCAGTGACTACAAATGAGATAGTCTCTGTTGCTTTTTCCTCTTGAACCTTCTGTCCCTTACCTGATAAACAAGTGGTACTTAGATGGCCCCATTTCTTACAACAACTACACCGCGGAGGAAGCCACGGATAAGAGTACTTGATCGTAGAATCCAGCTCTCCCTCCTCTTCTCCCGTGAATACATATTCCTTTGGGAGTTCTTTCGTCAGATCTGCTTCTACTAGGATTTGCGCTTCATCGAAACTAACACATGCCTCAGTTTTTGGATGCAAACGTTTTGGTTTACCAACTGCACTAGATAGGAACTCCAATCCCTTGTCCGTAAACATGGTAGGTGGAACATTTGTTAATGTGACCCAAAGCGGTATTGACTTCATTGCAGGTTGTGCTTCCTCCGCAAAAGGAGTCCATTTAGAGACTATCATGGGGATTTCCATGATGTTCCACATTCCTCTGTTTAAGATCCTATGCCTCATGCCTTCATTTCTTATACGAAACTTCACCGTTGATTCATTCACCACATATACATCAATTAAGGAAGATCGATCACCCAAGCGCCAAATTTTATTCACAATCATGTGAATCTTACCAACATGTGGAGCCTTCTCATTCAAAAATTTTCCAATCAAGAAGTCCTCCCAGAGCGGTTTCGCTCCCATAAAAACCTCTTTTGGAACAACCACTTTTTCACAGCCATCTACTTCCGAGACTACAAACTTTTGTTGAGTGAAAGTATGTTTCTGCGCTGCTTGGAGAAAGGACCTCCTCACAGGCTGAACTCCCGTCGATTGATTTGATGATGATACTTCATGATTCTTACCCTCTTCCTTCCCCCACTTACTTTCCCTAGAAACCTCCATCGAGCCCTCTAATGGCGTCGCGCTTTTCCTTTGCAAAGCTGGAAATTCATCAACGTGACTAACTGCAACCACCGGAGAAGCCCTGCCATCTCCCGTTCCCGGACTACCCACCCGACGGCCTGGAAAAGCCGCCGACGGCGTCATGCGTGGAGAAAACGCAAAAAACCTAGTCGCCTCTTTTTTCACCTTGCCACGTCAGCAGAGAAATTTTTCTAGGTTCAGGTGGAATACTGTTGTTTATTAGGTATCTCTCATAGACAGCCCTAGTTCACAAGTCGGTGATACTTGATGGGGTTAATCATCCATGCTGGCACCATATAATACTGTTCTTTGATCACAATATAAATGACAAAGTAATTTTTTTTTTTTTCTTAAAGTCCAAAGCAAAATATAATAAATATACAAAACTCCTCCTAAAAACTTTTCTGAAACACAAAATGACAAGAAAAACCCATCCAAAAACTCTCAAAAATATAATATATATAGCCAAAAAAAACTACATTTACAACTACTACCAACATAATTACTGTCAATAAATCTACATATACGGTCCAATCAATCACCCACTAAATATTGTCTCATGTTATAGGTATGAATAATGGTATAAGCTAGTTTTATTCACTTGTTCAAAAATTCATAAAGTAAAATGACAATTTTTGGAGGAAACTTTTGAAATATCGAACGCTAGCAAGAAGTTTGATATACGAAATGGAGAAACAACTTCGTTGTGGTTTGATACATGGCCTCATTGGGGATTTTTAATGGACAAATAATAACATCGTATTTTTCGCCCTCTATTACTATATTTTTATTAGGTTTCCCAAGGAAAAATTACCTTTTTATAAAACACACTGATTGTTTATCTTCTGCATGTTTGATGTCGTACATATACGATTTTCAAGAGAGGAGGAGGGAAATAAAGAGTTTGGACTTAATTATTCATTGTACTACTATATTTGATGTGTCTTCTCCATTTCCAAAGTCTTGACAATTGGAAGATGGGAAAAATAAAAAGTCATTTCCAAAGTCTTGAAAATTGGAAGCAGATGGGAAAAATAAAACGTCATTTTGACCGTTGTCATTATCATCTCTATATAATCCACCATCCCTTACAACATCAAATATACTTTATATTATTGATATGGCAACACAAACCAACAAAGACCATTTCTCTGGTGGACTTGCAAAGATCTTGGCAGAAAAATGGCAAGTTGACGTACGGCTAAAGGCAGTGGATAGTCATGAGGGTTCAGTTATCTCAGCCCACAAAGTTATTCTGGTCTCTTCTTCTTTCAACTTCTCTTTATTGATATCATCATCTTATTCAAGAATCAATTAATTCTAGCTAGAATGCTAATGTTTATGTGAAGTCTTTTTTTTGGTTGGTGTGGTTATTGTAATAATTCTCTCAACAAGTATGTTTGGAATTTGAATAGGCATCAAGATCGGAGGTTTTTAAAAAGATGCTAGAATCAGACGAGTTCAAGAATTCAGCTAAGGAAACAATCACTCTCTCAGAGATAAAACAAGAAGAGTTAGAAGCTTTTGTTGAGTTTATATATAGTGATGGTTCTATGCTTTCTGCGAAAGTGAAGCAACACGCAATGGTACTCTATCGTGCGGCTGACAAATACGAGATTCTCCAACTACGTGACCTATGCAGATCCGAGCTTATATCTTCTCTGAATTCGACGAATTCTCTTGACTTCATTGAGCTCGCCCAAACCCCTTTTGACAAAGTCCTCAACGATGCAGCCCTTAGTTATATTAAAACAAATGAATTTATGATTGGTAGCTTTGATAAGTTCAAGCTGTTCGTTGATAATTACCCAAATCTTGCCGTGGAGATAATGATGGCTTTTCTTCCTCCTAGTAGAAGCTGTTCTAAGTGTGGTCTCAAAACCTATCATAATCAGACTGGTACAAGCTGCTGTAACTGTGGTTTTGACTATCCTAGTAGCATTTAGATGAATCACAATGTATCACTCCATTTTTATCGTTGTTAAGTTTCCAAAACTTAGCAAATCTCGTATAAAAATTTTCGGTTTATATATATTTGTCTATTATTATCTCTTTCCTATGCATGCAAAAATAAGACAAATATTGAGAAAATATATAGATTGTAAACCAAGAAATTGTTCATCTTAAAGATATTAGACTATGGGTACCGGCGCTTTTGGACTAGAAAGCGTTTAGTGGAGTGGAATGTGTTGATTGCTTTGCAAAGAGAGAATTGGGTCATATAGCCAACTTAAATGTCGAAAAACTCGGAAAACATCCACCGATGTTTTGTCCGGCTTTCATGTATTTGTTACTTTTTCCTAGAGATTTGCTTTCAACTACCAATTCAATGGATTCTCCCCTAAACGATTTTGATTATTAAAAAACTATAGTAAAGAAAAATGTAAGTATAATTTAGTTTATAGACATTTCAACATGATTTATGGTAAAGTTGAATATGTATGTATTATCGGTTTTGATTCTCCCCTCACTACTACATTTAAAAAAAAAGAAAAAAAGAACCAGCTTCTCTAACTTAATGTTTGAGTTTTGGAGCATAATCACTCATAAGTTTAGCTTTTGTGTGAGTTATATAGCAAAAAGGTCTTTGTGGGTTTAGTTGGGCCCAACTCTTACAATCTAAACCAAAGCACATACACAGATTTACCTGAGATTTTAAGTTCCTTTAACTGGACCTTCTATCACCATCCGGCTAAAAGACAGAGCTTTTGCATACCTACATCAATTTGGTATAGACCAGCTTAATACAAAATCTGAAATCCCTGCACTGCCTTAAGATTTCATTACCTTGAATCGATTTTCCAATAAGTAAAAAAGGAGACAGAATCTTGTATAGAAAGTGAAATACTTCAGGTAATACAAACAAAGGCATACCAATCAAAAATACAACAAGACCCGAGGCCAATCGAGTCACAAAGCACACTAAAAGAAAACAATCCCTCAAAAAGTTACTGATTATATTACCAAATTTACTTGGAAGTCTTTAAAGTTTCATGGAGATGCACTGCTACTGCTGGAACGATACATAGTGGCAAAATCCAAACATAAATGTCGGTCCCTTTCATCGCCCCAACCACCCCAACCTTTGAAACCAGCTTTATAACCCGCTTGATGCTTATACACCCGAACTCCCCATCCTTCTTTTATGTTCACAACTTTATCTGTTTCCTTAACTTCGATGTTTACAACCCCATTATCGATGCAATCACCCTCATCTCCTCTGCCTTGATGCAACCCACATTTTCCAAAGTGGACCGCACTGGTTCTAGGCCCTCGCAATGTGTAAACAGGGGAACCAAACGATGGGAAAACCGTTGCCCACATCGTTATATCCCAATTGTAATCATCAAAGAAACAAAACTCTCTTGCCTTTTGGTGTATATTCTCCCAAACACTTCTATTAAAAGAATACCCGACATTTCCCATTCTCTCTGCAACCAAACTTTCAAGCCCTTCTCCTCTTGACTTCACATCAGACGGTGCTAAATTAGCAGCAAAACAGTCAGGACATTTTGCGGGTTTCAGCCTCGTGAGAGTCTGTATATTACGATAGGCATTAGGAAAGAGAAAATGATCTTCTTCGATGAAAAGGATATGACCCTCATGTCCTTTAGTCTCTTCCAACCCATCCCATACCGTGTTCATCATCCACCACCAGTGATGCTTCAGAGATACAATCTTTGGAGACCGATGATTCCCATACTGATCCGGACTTCCTACACAATGCGTCTTTGCCTCATCACCCTTGTTCTTACAATCATTCGGGGTCACCCCGGGGAAACTAGTCCGAAATATATGAGGCGAATACGGCGAGAATATCTGTTTCACCTGACAAAACTTAATCCCATCCACAATCTTATTCATATCTAAAAAGTAACCATCATGGCTAACAATCAACAATGTCTCACTTATCCCTTTAACCTTTGACAAACTTTCCACAGTTACTCGAAAATACTGAGCCCGATTATGCACATACAAGACGATAACCACACGATCTTTCGCCAAATCCGGGTACAGATCCAAATTCCTCGGAGAAAAATGGTTCCTTCTATGCAAACTAAGAGACATTCTATTACCTCTAGCTACACTTAGCAAAGAAGCATTAAGCTTAACTTCCAAATCTTTATCCAAACCATCCAAATCATCGTCAATAGAAGAACCATTCAAAGCAGTTCTAGGTACAGACACCAACATCAGAACTAAAGAGACAGTAACAGCAAATAGAATCCCTAAACGACATAAACCCGTATCTCTCAGTTTCTGCTTCTTCCAAAGATTTGCCATTGACAAAATTACTAAAACTGAACCAAAACTCAAAATTGTACACTAAACAACACAAACTCTTAAAACCCACTTAACCTCTGTAAAAAAGGTGCTTCCTTTACAATCTTCAAATCAGCTGCAACACGAATTGAAGCAAAATCAACAACAAAGACAAAGACTCGACCTTTGACTTCAGATCGTCAATATTATTTCCAGATGATTGAAAAAAGCAGCTTCTTTGAAGAAATCACGAAATGGGTACTCGGAAAAACACGAGATTTTATCAGGAAAGGAGAAGAAATTTTGGAGTCATTGAAGAATCTCTCAGCCAAAAGTGCTGAGTCTTAACGTGACTTTGGGTTTCGCATTTTTCTAGTCACCGATCAATTGTTACTTAAATTTACTATTATGCCATCCAATTGTTGACTGCTGTGTTTTTTCTTAAAACGAAAAATATTTTCTTAAATAACGAATTATTTAAACTTTTTGCGAATAGTTCGTTAGAATGTTGCATAACGTTTATTTGATTAAGAGGTGACTTCTCTATAAAGATTAATCATTCATAATCATACCTTACTTCATTTACACACATACTTACAAACTTTTTAGGCATTTGTATTTAGTATAGTGTTCCATAAATGGAATTTTCGTTAACCTCAAATATATTATAATAATAATAGATTAAAGTCATTTTTAGAAAGAAAAAAATATCAATTTGAGGTCAACATGGAAAACTGTATCATCCCAAATTTAATGTTAAAAAAATCGTATCTTACAAATCATGTTTTGATAACCATATCCATTACTTCCAAAAATGAGGCAAGTGTATTCAATCAAACATTTGAAATGACCTTCATAAATTTTAAAAAATCTTATAAAACCTAATGTTATATGAACTAGTGATTTTAAAAAGACTTCCAAATCTACTGTTATTGAAAATATTTGATGCATGGGATATTAATGACTTTAAAAAGTTTAGAGTATTTTCTTAGTTAAAAATACAAATATTTAAATCTCAAAATTTTAAATATAATGGAATTTGAGGAAATTTTACAACAAATAATAACTTCCTAAATTCACCAAAATCATCTAAAACTTCAATAAAATTCAAATCATTCAAAGTATATGGTTGCTTTTTTATATCCACATGTTCTACTATTAGTTTCGAAATGCCTTTCCAAAAAAAAAAGTTTCGAAATGCCTTTCCAAATTATATTATTGAACTTAAATTTTACTTAAAATAATTTGAAGTTTTTTACAGTCAATGAGTTATAAAAGTCATATGAAATCTTATATATTTCACAATTATTTTTTAGAGATTCCATAACATTTTCAGTTCAAAATATGAGTCAAATAACTCGCATGTTTACCTTTAAACATGAAAACTTGAAGGGGTTTTAGCATATCAAAGAGAACTTTATTTACACAAAATAAGGTCCGGAAACTGTCAACGTTATTTACTTTTATTATTAAACTTAAATTTGTGTAGTCAACTAAAATTTGGAAAATTAATTTTAAATGTGAAAGTTGGGGAACAATTTTGTGAAAATGTAAAAGTTAAGAATTTAATGGTTATTCCTTGAGTGAGAAATTACTGTGGGAAGAAGCTCAAATGGATCCGATCGACAATATTACATTTACGGAATTTTCGGAACCCCCAAACCAATCATTACGATGTCGGTTTGATGGTTCATGGAAATCTACGGATCCAACAATGGGTTTAGGTTGGTGGTGTTTTCAGGGAACTGCTCAAACAATACTGCTTGGTGCAAAATGCCTTAGGAGATCGCCCTCACCCCTTCATTCGGAAATAGAAGCTTTAATTTGGGCCATGAAGAATATCCTTTCAAGAAGGATTGCTTGTCAGGCGTTTGAATCAGACTGCTCAGAATTGGTCTCGATGGTACAGTCACCTGACGAATGGCCAGCTTTCTCCAACCTTCTAGACGAGTTTGGTTTGCTACATGTTTCCTTTTCATCTTTCTCACTTTCCCTTATTTCTTGTTCTTGTAATTTAAAAGCGGACTGTTTAGCGCGCTCTTCTAGACTTTTATTTTCTGAAACTACTTTTGTAAACATTTCTCCTCCTAGTTGGGCAACCAACCAAGGAATTTTTTAATAAATGTGTGGTTGACAAAAAATAAAAAAAAAGAATTTAATGGTCATTTTTCAGAAATTTCATCAAACACTTTTTGGTAACCAAAATAATATAGGTTTTAGGACTAAGTAATCAATACAATAAAAACACTAGGTTTATCTCCTGATTTGACACATCAGCTTTTTCAGCTTTTCTGGGTGTGACACATCAGCCTATTTACCTACCAATAAGAACATTTTATTAATACAACTCAGCTTTAATTTTTTACACGTCACTTTTCTTTTCCATCAATTATTTCCGAATAAAGGCAAATATCTTTGGCCCATTCCGGTCAAATTCCTAAAACCCATTTTGACTCCATCGCCGCCAAATCCTTCCCAATCAGCCAAGCTAGCTTCTTCGATTATCTCTTCTTATTCCCAACCATGGTTTTCGCATTCAAGTTTCTGTTTTCTATCTCTAAATTTCAACGTCTTTTGTAATTGTTGGCATCTAGATTAATCGGGCAAATGGGAATCGGAATTTGATTGTGATGTTTTCACAGATTCAAGTTATGGAATCGCAAAGCTCAATGTTTCTTCTTTGTTTCAGGATAATTGAAAACCAAAAAAATGTATAATCGCAATCCAAAGGAGATGAAAAAACAAGGCATGGGGCCAATTGATACTAACTTGAGCTTTAGGAAGATTATGAATGACGTTGAGAACTTTGGTAACCACTTTGGTAACCTCTCTTTTGATGCGTATAATTGTCTCTCTTATATCATAAGGAAAGACTCAGGTAGATCTGGATACACAAGCTTTGATGATCAATAAGAGAAGCATATATAGACTATTAAGTTGTAGAAATTTTCATTGCCTTTGCCAATTTTTGCTTTCAGCATTATGATATAAGAGAGAGTGAAGAATTGTAGGCTTGAAGAAGTTTTCCAGATCCTCAAATTCATTATGTTTTCTCTTACTTTCAAGACATTGAAAAGTTTAGCACTCCCCGTGATGATGCAAGTTTATATTCTTATTACAGGATCTTAATCTTTGAAGGTACATGACATGAAAAATAAGAAAGCATTGGAGAATAATAAATGAATGCACTTGGTGGAAAGCCTCAACAGAAACAGAGGCTATCATTTAGTGTAGCGTGAGTAAACATGAAGAAAGAGAAGAGAAGATGTTTGAACTGAATATGATTCTTGGCAAATTTTGGAGGACAACTTGGTGGTGGAAGTACGAAGAAACCCGCAAAGGGGATACATAATCTAGAGGAGAGAGTCGTTAAATGAATTGTAGGGAATTTTTTGAGTGGTGTACTTGATGCTAGGAATTTGCTACATTCTTGTTCTTGAAGAACTAATGACAGAGATAAGAAGATCAAGATCAAGATCGGAGGAGAAATTGGAGGAGGCAAAGAAAGTAAAAGACAATAGAAAAGAGACAAAAAGAATTAAGGAAAGAAGAAACAAGGCGGTAGGAGGAAAGGCAAGTAACCGCGGTAGATGTGTTAACAAATTTTTTGAAACCAGTCTTGTGATCAAAGGAGCCTACTTCAAAAGATGTTTGAAGCCATGCAAGCATCATGACATAGAACGATTAATCTTGGTAATGGCATTTATGAAAATGTCAAAAATTTGGAATGATATTTCCACAGTAGCCTCTCTTTAGGATAAGTGCAGTTATAGCTATTGAATTGGTTTTGATTGTGAAAGAAAACAAATCTTCTTATCCCGGACGATATGAGTTTATTTGGAGAGTGCCATAAACGCGATCGGTGATATCACCATTTTCAGTCGCCGCGGGTGACTCTAGGTTTGAGTAGAAATTAGAAAACTGATTTACTTCAATTAATAGCCCTGTCATATATGTTAAAAGTAACTTAGTTGTAATCGTAAAACAATGGTCAATTATGATTATAATCGCAATATAAGACACTCAAGCGTTAGTCACGTAATGTCTTTTAAACATTTCAACCACTAACCACTTAACCGAATTAGTTAATATATACGTATATGTTTGTATAGAGATTAAATTTTTATGTAGTTTTACTAATTAAAAACTGATTTAGCTGAAATAGAAAACATTACAGCTTTTATTATTGTTTACATCTTATAATTATAACCAATAAAATATTAAATTATAATCACTTCTTTTTTTCGTTGATATTTAGTCAGAATAAAAAATATCTCACTGAAAACAAATAATTGCAAGAATCTATTTCCAGTAAAAATATTTATAATTGAAAAATCCGAATACTAAAATTGATTTACGGTTTGGCCTTGGTTTAGCATTCCAATTTGATTTGGTTCCCTTTTTGCCTTCAAATTATTATAAATATTAAATATTTTAGATATTTAATTAGAATCATTTTCCGAATTTTAAATAAATTTTAAAAAATTTCAATATTTGGAAGAAAATCATTTAAAAAATATCCCGCTGCGGAGCGCGGGTTTCGACCTTGTTAAGCTAATTCTGGCATTCAACACGTTTTATATATATTAACCTGGGTAAAACTAGTTTTTGGGTCTAACACTTTAAGAAAGTTTATATTGCGTCGAGTAGAAAAAACAACTAATTGTACATTTCTAAAAGTTTTAAAAGTCACACGTAGTCAAACAAACATGAAAAGAGAAGAGTTTTACCTGAGTATAAGAGATGAGATTGAAATCGTGAGAAGATTTGCGGCGCAATAGTAAAGATAGATGATACGAAATCGATGCTAGATCTCTTGAGGATGAAAATAAAAATCTTTTGTTAGTTTTGGATAAGATATGTATGTAATGGTAAAATCTTGTTTGGCTAAACTATATTTTTGTGGTTTAACTTAAATCTAATGTAGAGATGTCAATTATAATCAAACTTCGTTCAGTAGAAAAGGTTAATCGGGCCTAAACCCAACCGAGTTTAGAGTCTTTGAACTATTTCTAAAAGTCCAAATAAATATTTTTCAATCCAAAATTAATAATTTTGACACACCTAATGTAATGGATTAAATTAATTGCAAAATATATATAGGCTAATTTTTTATTTTGTATAGTGCATTAAATTAATTAAACTATATAATTTTTTTTTTTTTTTTGCAGCAATTACGATATTATTTGAAAAGGCCTGGTTTGCACATTCTCTCATTTATTAAATTGATTCGGTTGAGTTCAAATGTTCCACAGCAAATGGAGTGTCTAATCTAAGAAGAGGATAAGGTTTTAGTCTCCAAGTTTGCCAAATGTCACCACAAATGCCACATATGTCTCCAACTAAAATATACGCCAAAAAATGAAAAACCATATTCAACGAATACAAAAACAAAACGTATAGTTGTTGGAAATGGCAGCCAAATTCCGCATTGCCTCTTCTTCGTTTAGCCAAAGGGCTAATGATTCCACAACCTCATCATCTTCTTCATATTCATCATTGCTTGCTTTGCCTCAATTCCTCTGTCCACAATCACCATTAAGATTCCCACAGTTCAAGCTTCACGCCAAATTAGGTACTCTTATCTCTTTTATTTATTTGTAGATGTAAATTTTGTTAATCCTTGGTTCTTGCTTAAGGTGGAGGAGATGGAGAAGTGAAGCCTAAGGATAAGAAGAAGTTCATAACCAAAGAGGAAGAACCAGAACAGTTAGTTAATCTTAATTTTCAATTTCCCATCACTAGATTGTAGAAAATAAACAGAAATCTATGGAATAGAAATGTAATTTTTCAAAAATCACAGAAAAACAAATCCTAGGAAATTGATGAATACATGGAAAATTAAGAAACGCAAAAGTTTAGTCTCCATTGCAGAATTTAGATAGTTTACCAATTAAATGCAAAAGTTTAGTCTCCATTGCAGAATTTAGATAGTTTTTTTGTATGTGACAATGACATGTAGACTAGTGGTTTGTGTTAGCTAGTATTGTATCAATATTCCGGCTAAAACCCGCATAATGCATGTTGTTAGCAAAAAAATTAATACTAATAATCGTAGTTTGTAAGTGATAGAGAGTCCATACCCGAACCATTAATTGTGACCATGTTTGATCGAAAATATTTGGTTTTTGTAATTTATTAGAAAGAACTTAAACTCTTGCATGCACATTTTTCATAAACATGCAATTGTGATTGAAGAAATGGGTATGGATGAGATTTGCATTGCAATTTTGTAGGTATTGGCAAAGCGTTGGAGAAAGAGAAGGAGAGAATCCGATGAAGACGCCTCTCCCTTACATTATCATCTTCGGTATGTCAACGCCATTCGTCATCTTAGCCATTGCTTTCGCCAATGGTTGGATCAAAGTTCCCATTCGTTGAGCCTTTCTTTTTTGCTTCTTCTTCTTCACTTGTTTAAGGCTGAATCTTAAACATGTTTCTTATACTCTTCTTCTTCGGCTGTAATTAAAGAACAAAGTAATAGAGTGCTATCATTATATGACATGGTGCTCTGCTATATATTTTTTTTCTTCCATTCACATTTTCTCTAATTTAACTATGACTATGTTACTTCCTCTTAATTCAATAATCCAGATGTTATATAAAAAAATGTCTTGAGTACTAGAAGGATGCGAATTGGAGACAACACAAAGTAGTGACATAGAGCCTAGTTGGCACATTAAGAAGAGACTTGGAATCATCTAGGACTAGAAGGTTTACCCTTGAGAAGCTTAGAGGAGTATAACGAGTCATCGGAGAATTATACGATGGACTATGCTTATTGTTGATGAGTGAAGAAGACGATATGAGTCTCTCTGGATTTTATATATGATCGATATAGATGATGATCCGAATCTTGAGGTTGAGTTCTCCATGAGAGCTTGATCTGAGATTTTATCGTTACCGGCTTATCTTCCTTGTAATCGGTGTGCTTGTGTATTCATCGTTTACATTATCAATAAAGAGAAGTTATAGAGGTTAGGATCTATAAACTTAATAAACTAGTACTACTCATATTAAACTTTGTCTCCACACAAAAAAGTTTACAGAGGTTAGGAAGTAAATTTTGAAAATTTTCAAACTGTGATAGGATCGTTATTATCATGTTTTAAAATTTTCAAAATTGCCCGCAAGGTGGTGGGCGAGTGGTAGGGCGAGTCCGGAGTTGAGGATGAAATCCCCGAACCCGGGTTCGATCTTCCTCCCTCGCTGTTATCAACACTTTGTTGGGAAGTCTGGGCTTGGGCTTCGGCCCAGGCAGTTTACCTGGTAGTCTGGTAACAGGCGATCCAGCTACCCCCGGGCATTAGTCGGAAAGCATTCCAAACTCGGTTAGGCAGTGTGGTAGCCCATCCTTCGGGGTGGTAGTGAGTCCACTCTGTAGCACTCCGGTGCGTTCCTACCGAGGCTGACCGGATCAGCCGATCGGGTATATCAAAAAAAAAAAAAAAAAATTCAAAATTTTCTCATGTTTTAATCAGTAGCTTAAATAGAAAGAAGATTATGATACTTCAGTTTAGTGATAGGATCACGAGTGGGCCTTATGGACTTTTATGAGGCTTAATGTTTAGCCTGTTTCTTATAGTAGTTTCTTATATATAACTCTTCCTTAGTCTTTGTAAAACACTTATCGATGAAGATAATAACAATGAATTAAACTCTTCTCTCTTCTCTTTTCTCCTTCCCCTTCTTCTTCTGATTTCTTCTTCTTCTCAACCCCTAATTCTTCTAAATCTCATCACCTTCTGTTATCCTTCTTGTTAAGCCATTTTGGTACTTACATTTAGCTTAACAGTAAAGAAGAACTAAAAAAACAACCAGCAACAATTGGTGTAAAATCACAACTGAATCCAAGAAACAAAAGAAGAGATAAATGCACGTACGTGAGAATCATAAAAACGGTATTAGCTATGACTAAGTGCTTGATTTCTTACCTTGAAGAATGAGCTCAGATCAATATGGTCATTATCTATTTTTCATTGAAGACGATTCGTCGTATGCTCACGATTTAGTAGGTCGAAGATACCGTGGTGAGTCATTTCCATAATCTTGGCAAATTTGGGTATGAGACCTTCATCCTAAAGAGCATATAAATCGTGGGTTAGGACCACAAAGCTAGATTTCAAGATCCTAATATAACTTTCGAAAGCTAGCGTTACACCTAACTTGTCGAGGCCATTATTGGAGATGGTGTGAACAAGACCGGCTTTAAGTTTAACAATGCTACAAGCAAGGGAAAAAAATGGCCTAAAGGTCTCGAACCCTTGAACTGATCATGAGCATCCACTATAATGAACCAGCTGTGGGTGTGAACACCCAGGGGCGAACCCACTGAGAAGAGAGGTGAGTCACCTGACCTATGTAAAATAGTGAAATAAGTTTTCGTGCATTTTAATTTAGAAAGTTCCAACAGCACAGTTGGTAATTCCCAGGGAGTTGACATACCAAAACTCGGGTTCAAACATCTAGTGTGACACTTTTTAGTATTTTGTTTCCCTATTTCAACTTTATAAACATGTTTTTATGTTTTATATCCTAGGTCATAGCCCGCACATTTGCGCGGACTGTTGTAAAATCAGTTATGTTAATTTATTTAATAATAATTTAAAAATATAGAACAAATAATTTTCCTAAATGTCAATAATCAATAACATATATTTATTCAAATCATACAATATCAAAATATATAACTTATTTAATAATCAAACATATAAATCTCATGAATTTATTCGGTTTTTTATTGTTCAACTATGATAATAATTTTAGTTAGTATTTTTGAGCATTCAACGTAAAATAAACATTATTAGTGATAAAATGAAAATTTACAATGATATTCAAATATTTAGTTTAAGTTGTTGATATAAACTAACACATAACCTAAAGTATTTTCCAAATTATTTTGTAAATAAGAAAGTAGATACATTTCCTATAAAATCATACGAAGTGCAATCAAAATCTTTACAAAAAAATCCCAAAGATTACTTTCATTGTTTAATCTCTTTTTATATTCCCCTTAATTTAAGTTATATTGCTAGGTTTAATTCTAATGATTTCATCTTTGTAGTACAAGCTAGATTAGAAATGAAATATAATTTTTTTATATATACAGAAAAATCCTTACACTACAAAATTTGAACTAAAGAAATATTTTAATGATCTTCATATAAAATTATATGTTGAATAAAAAACTAAATATAATGATGAGTATAGTAAAAAAATGTATTACAATTTTTTTAGAGGTACGAGAGAGTTAAGGAAAATATAGAAAATCCTTACACTACAAAATTTGAACTAAATAAATATTTTAATGATCTTTATATATAATTATATGTTGAATAAAAAACTAATTATAATGATGAGTATACTAAAAAAATGTATTACAATTTTTTGGAGGTACGAGAGAGTTAAGGAGAATTAATGATAATTGTACATTACAAAAACTTATTTCGTTAAAACATTGCATACTTAAAAAAATAAAATAAATATACATGAAAATATAAGAAATAATCAAACGTCCAAAGTAAAAAATGGAGATAGTTTCTTTAGCTTGATTCCCTTATTGTGCGATGGTCGGAATTAATATTTTTGAATCTGCATCAATAATGTAATTTTATCATAGTAATCAAAATTATATTTTACATATGTAATTTTAAATTAAAGTATATTATAAAAAAAAAGAAGGAAAGAAGAATTACATAAAAACAAAGAAGAAATAAAATTGAAAAGAATGTAAGATATATATTAATATATACATATATACAATCAATCTCTTACAATGATATCGTGGTTGAGTTTTTAATCCATACAAGAACATAAACAAAACAAAGAAAATATTTAGGATTTGAAACATGGTGGAGGAGGATGTGAGAATGGTTATTTATAGAAAAATAAGTGATGGAAGTTACATTTCTAATATAATTAGACTATAAGAGTTACAAATTAGTAGTAAAGTGTGGATTTAAAGTATGATTTAAAGTATATGATTAAATACGTTATATTTTAAGTTTAATTGAAAATAGATATATATTTTTTTTTAACAATTGCCAAGTGGATAAATAAAGAAAGAGTGAAACGCTTCTTTTATATATATAGATTTTTTAATTCTTTAAAGAATAACAGCATTTTATATATATTCTTTTTGAAAATGATTTTTTTAGTGTTTATATAAGATTAGTATAAAATTAATTATATGATATTTTTATATAAAAAATTTGACCCGGGTAAAATTTATCTTTGGGTCTGCCAATGTGAACACCAATAAGGGACATTAGTCTGAATAACAAGAGGCATATCCCTCCTTTTTTTGCAAATGTAAACCAAAGAGTTTAAAGTGAGTATGTTAGCCACGACTAGCTGAAAGACGAGGCCACATATCCATATACATCAAAGATGCGGCGAATTCATCTGGACTCAAGTCACCCTTCAAAAAAACATAAAGAAACGTGATCGCCATGTGTCAACACTGTGTGAACATCCTCATTTCTACCATTCTTAACATTTACCATAGTAGATTTCTTGAGCTGATAAACGTAAACCATGATTTTGATGGTGATCAATACGAGTGCTCCTCCAATTATGATTTCAATGATCTCCTGACTTGTGTATGATCAACTTATTTCTGGGTTTGTAAATGACATTTACGTGTTTTGGAAGCCTCAGTATTTTGTTCTTATTCTTTCTTTTTTTCTTTTTTACCTTTGCGATTTATTAATAAAAACTACTAAATATAAAATAGACATGCATTATTGTCAAAATCTAATGAATTTAACATCAAAATCTTTTTTGGGTTTGTGTTTCAAAAACTTTGAAATCAAAAATTCAAATTTTTGGATATTAACGTTACACATACATGACACTTTACAAACACATCTATAGTTTTTGTATTTTATCATATTTATCTTATGTTTTGCTCATATTTTTCTTAAGTTTTGCAAAATTTTCATCATTTTTGAAAATAATTATTTCAATGACTATAACATATGGATAGAAGTGTAGTCACATTTAAATTCATTAAAACAAGTTAAATCGGTATTTAGGATATATATGATATAACTTTATTGAATTAAATAATTAATCAATTTAATATATAATTAAAGTTTTAATTGAAAATGAAAAGAACAAGAAATTTAGTTTTGATTTTTGTTCTAATACACATTAAAATCAAGATAAGGATGGAGCTAGAGATTTAGAGTGATCTTACTAGAAATGATCACAAGGAAATAAGCAGTTGATAAAACATTGGGAGAAGAGGGATCCAATTTGGCAATGTGGTTACGCCCAAAGTTAAGCAATGGAATATTCTAGGAGTAATTAGACGAAACCATTGTTACAGATAATGAAGAGAAACGATGAAGAGCATTGAATATGTTGCAAAGTCAGCAGAAAATTGCATATCTGTAGAGCTCAAAAGAAGATCAATTATATGTCAAGTGATGACCTTATTGGTTTCTCTTGTGGAGGATTGGACTCCATCATCTCCCCTAAGATGATAACAGTTTAGAGAAGGATAGTGTGAGTCTTTTAGAATTTGTGCGAAGATGGCAACTTGAAGAATGAAGATGAAGGACCGTATACGACGTTTTGTTTAGTATGCTAAAAAACGTTCACCTGAAATCAAAGTTACTCTAAAGATGAAAGAGTACAATCACATCCTTCTACAAGTACTGGTCTCTCGGAAATTCAAATGGCAAGTCTTTCAGAAAATGAATAAGGCCCTGTTCGTTTCTCCATTCATATGGATCATCTGGATGAAGATGAAGAATGATGTTCGTTTTTAACAATTTAACAAAGCATTTGGATGAATCAGTTGGATGGATCATCTGAATGAGTTTGTAATTTTAGGCAAATTTGTCAAACTCATCTGGGTGAACATGATTGGAGCATTTGGATGGAGATGTTTCAGCCAAAAATAACAAATGACAAATATACTTCATTTACAATCATATATCAAATAATGTTTATTTTCCATAGATTACTCATTTTATATTCTAAAAAACACATATTTGCACAAAAAAATCTCTAAAAATTGTGAAATCAAGGATTATCATTTTCCATCAAAATCATAAAATCGCGGAATTGTGTTTTTTCCTGCCAAAAAGTGAAATCATGATTTTTGATAGAAAATTGTGGAATTCGTCAAAACCGCAAAATCATGTTTTTCCACCAAAACCGCAAAATCATATTTTTCGCCAAATCATGTTTTTCCGCCAAAACCATAAACTCATATTTTCCCGCCAAAACCACAAAATCATGTTTTTCCGCCAAAACCGCAAAATCATAGTTTTCCCGCCAAAACCAAAAAAATTGAAGAATAACATTTTCCACCAAAACCGGAAAATCATATTTTCTCGCCAAAACTATAAAATCACGATGTTGGCGGGAAAATTACGGAATTCTGTTTTCTCGCCAAAACCGAAAAAACTGAAGAATTGTGATTTCCACCAAAGCCGTGAAATCATGTTTTCCCGCCAAAACTATAAAGTCATGATTTTGGCGAGAAAATTACGGAATTCTTTTTTTTTCCCGCCAAAACCGAAAAAACTGAAGAATTGTGTTTTCCACCAAAACCGTGAAATCATATTTTCCCGCCAAAACTATAAAATCACAATTTTGGCGGAAAAATTACGGAATTCTGTTTTTCCGCCAAAATAAAAAAAACTGAAGAATTGTGTTTTCCACCAAAACCGTGAAATCATATTTTCCCGCCAAAAGTACAAAACTTAATTTTCCTGTAAAATCATATTTTCTCGCTAAATCAAATTTTCCCGCTAAAACCGTAAAATCATATTAAAACCGTAAAATCATATTTTTCTGCCAAAACCGTAAACTTAATTTTTATATGTTAAAATCATAGTTTGAAATTATTTATTTGTAAATATATTTTTGAGCAATAATTAAATTAATATAGCTAAGATTAAAATTAAAATATAATTAGATTAATAGTATGGATATTTTAGTCATTTTCTTGTTAAAGTCATCTAGATGCAAATGAAGATTTATAAAAATTAAGCAAACAAACAAAAGTTCATTTAGATGTTCCATCCAAATGAATATCCAAAAATTGAAACGAACAACATTCAGATGGAGCATTTGGATGGAACATTTAGATGGACCATCTGGATAGAAATGCCAGATGATCAAACGAACAGGCCCTAAGTTAGTATAGATTTCCACAAAAAGATTTTAGTGATAATTCTGTAAAATATTTGTATCTTATATAGTTTCACTTTCACATTGTTGTATTATCAATTTTTCTGGTAACAAATATGATTCCTTAAAACAATGTTCACATTGAATATGAGCTTAAAGATTGTCAAAGCCAATCAAACTACCAACAATGATATTTACTTAAATATTATCTATGCATGTCTCAAGTTATCAGAAAGATGTTTAATTTTTCTCATGCAGCTTCTTAATTATCGAATACATGAACGTTAACATTAGACCGATAGTTTTCTTGTTATCTGAGTGAGTAAAACACAGCTTTATCTACTAAAGTTATAAATTAAATTCTCTTACAGGAACTCTTAAGATGAGAGGTGGCCCTGCAAAAATTACAAGAACTCTTTAGTTACTCCATGGACATCAAAACAGTGCTACAAAGATTAAAAGATTGGTAAGATATATTGTCTATGCAAAGGTATTACAAAAGTTTTCATATAATATTTTGACATCAAAATAGTGCTACAAAGATTTTCTTAAACTTTCTCACGCATGCAACAACTTCTTGGCCCCTTGATCTTATTGTGAAAGTAAATATCATTAATACAAACTATTACATAGTTAAAAGAATCATTTTCTTAATTTGTCAACAAACAAATGTATGAACAAGCCAAATCTTAGTAATGAGAAAAAAGCAAAAGAATGAGAGCTATTTGTACATGTAAATGTGGGAAACCAAATCTTGGTCATCTCTCCACCATTGGTGTATTCCATGAGCGTCCTTGTAATCTTCGGAATTGGTCTTGTTTACTATAAGATTTGCAGATGGGATGACATGAACCGGCTCTTCTACTTCCACTGCATTGCTCACTCCCATAACATCCATTAGCAAACCTCCCAAGGAATGCTGCATCGCCATCCTCTCTACAATTCCGGCTCCATACCCGATCTGTTCCATTGTTCCCCGGTGCTCGAAAAATCCGATATACTCTGAACATAGATGGTCCCCTGGATTTACATGTATGTTAGGGAGCCACAAAGATAGTGCCTCTAGCGGATCTTCAGTCAAGTTTTGTAGTTGCAGTTGCTGTTGCTGCGGCTGCTGTGTTTGTTTAAGAGTTCTGGAGAGCGCTAGTCCTGCTGTGATGAGGCTCCCCGCGAATCTAATCCCGTGCCTAACCCGTTCGTTTGCTATCCTCTCGATCGGGGGAGACACATATGGAGGGTTAAACAACAAAGATTTGATATAAATTCCAGTCTTTGCGATTGTTTTGCCAGCGAGGAGCGCCATAGCTGCACCCAGGGAATGCCCTGTTAGCCAAAAGCTTGAAGCCCCAACAGAATCAGCCATACTTCTCACAGCTTGCATAGCAATCTCAAAACGGGATGTTCGGTGAAGCCCATTCCGGATAATATGGATATCCAACTCGATATCACGGGTTATCGAATCCGCTTTAGTCAAAGTCCCTCTAAACGCTATAACATACCGCGGAACTCCAGAATCCACAACATCTGGCTGTAACGATTTGTATTCATAAATACCGCCAAAGATTGAGAAATCAGCATCGTCTTTAAGGTGCCGGATCAATTTAAAGTTGAAGGATTCCCACCATGGAGGTGCAAGAGCTTCAGAACCTTCACGATTAAGCTGACGATCACGCTCTACTATATATATTCCTTGAACCAAACAAGCTGCTACACAACGCTGGTGATCTTCATTTGCCCTGTTAAAAAAACAAAAAAGACAAATTTCAAGAACCCATTTGATAAGTCTAACCACATGTTTGATCTTGAATTCAACTTTCATACACAAAAAACGAATGTTACATTCTAAGATTAAATCCTAAACCAAATGGTTAACAGTCCAAACATACCAATCAACAGTTGTGAGATGTGAAGGTCCACACAAGTTAAACTCTTCTCTATCAGAAGCCATTTCTCTGTCTCTTTCCAAGCTGGTTTTCAATAATTTCCTCCTCTAACTGCAATGTCACAGAAATTCACAAATTCAATAATCCGACTTTCAATTTTCGAATCTGAATTGAAGGAAAGTGTCAAAATTTGGGATTAAATTTTATATTAACATTCAATAATTACTGTTTTATCTCTGTAATTTAGTGATGATCGTTCCCAAAACACAAAAGGTAATCATATCGAACACTGAAATCTAACAAATAATTTGAAGAAAAGTCAACGTATTGAATCATCTAAACAGAAACTCCTAGAGAGATCTTATTTAGTTCCCGAATCGAAGTATCACGAAGACATTGGGATTAGAGATTGAAGGAAGCAATTGAGCAGACATATTGAAAGAAGAAATTAATACCTAAAACCGGAGTTGAAGCAACATGAATGTTCTGGTCTATAATGTCTCTGCAAAATTTTGTCCGTGATCGGTCTTCCTTGTAAGGAAGAAACAGCGAATAAATATGTTAGAGAGAGAGAATAATTCTGTCGGATTGTTCTAAAAACGCTGTCGTTTTGTCCTAAGCAAAACATTTCGTAAAAGCGTTTTTTTTTTTTGTCGGCAAGCGCTTAGCATTATTTATTTATGTGCCGAGTTTGGGTTTTTGGGAAAAGAAGAGGAAGAATTTTACAGACAATCCCAAACTTATTTAGCAAAAATTTGATCAAACTATTTTATCTCCGTTGTTAGTCGATAATTTTAGCTCGTTATTACTGATTAACGAAACTAAAATGACTTGATAAACGTAAAATTTGAAGAATTAGTTATCTAATGGAATAGATGAAGATATTTTTGGCCAAAAACAGGTAAATTATAGTTTTTTTATGACATTTTTTTTTTTTATCAAAATGTATGAGCGAGATGTTCAAAATCAAAATTTTCCTCCAAAAATAATTTCTCTTATCGTTTGTTGTTATATAGGTGCTGTTTTTAAGATATGAGTATGTGTTTCAAAGATTGGTTTTACTGCTTATGGCAATTGTTGTGTGTTTGTGATGTCTTTGCTTTTCTTATTTAAGACAATACTAGATCCTTACGTGCTGGTTGAAATTGCTTAAATCAGTTTTTTACATCGTTTTTTTGTAATATATTATATACTCTTTTGGGTTTGTTAGTATTCGAATAGGATATATATAGTAGATGGAGTATATTTGTTTGTTAATTTTAAAAATGTTGCGATGTTTTATTTCGAACGTTTATATGTGTTTTATGGGATAACCAAAAATTGTTTTACTTAACAAAAGAGAATTTGTATATTTTCATAAGGAATATGTGTAATAGGGGAAACTATAGTGCCCTATTGTAATAAACTAAAAATGTAATAATTGTATAATAACATTATGTTGAATTCACATTAGTGTTTATTTAATTTTAGTATAAATTTTGAAAGCCATGGAAAAAATATGTTAGTTGACAGGCCACACTTCTTATTACGAAGAACACTCAAATGGGCTTAATGACATATTCATATAGGCTCATTATTAACAGTCCTGAATCCATTTAGTATTTTTGTTTGTTTAATTCGTTATTTATCTTAATACATGTTATTAATGTAATATTTGGATTATGCCAAAAAAAAATGTAATATTTGGACAGATATTTTTTGTTAGGAATTTCGTTTTCTTTATTTCCCCAAAAAAAAATGCACCGAACAAAACGATGAACATCTCTCGAATTCCAGAAGCATTTGCGAGATTTCTCATAGAAAAATCAGTACTTTGTCTCCTTTCATACTTCTACTTGTTCAATTCTTGAATCATGTGTATAGGTAAGCCTTATATTGAATCAGATTTATAGTTTTACAGATTTTGTATATATCGATTGAATTTGCAATCTTTGAAATATTCAGTTTTAATAGTATAAATTCGCCACGGATTCGCAAGTAAGAGGATCTTATATGTGTAATTATTCTCAATAAGCTATTTTAAAATTTAGGTATTTTCTTAAGTTGAACCGTTAATCTCGAGTATACAGAGCACTATTTTGTTTGAAATTTACGTAATTGAGTAGATTTTGTACTAACTGTAATCTGATTTGTTTTTTTTTTGTCTATTCAGGTGATATATGAGTTACGATTAAATGAAGACTATGGAGGATAATATGTGATTTTGTCATTGTAGTTTTCTGAAATTAAGCTGTTAAAGGTTAGTGAGATGTCAACTTTTAAAGTTTTGTTTTATAGATTTGCTGATTTAGATACTCTTTTTGAGCTAATGTTAAGAGACTATATATATATAGCACATTGATTTACTCTATGAAAACTTCTGTGTATATGTTGTTCAGATGAAGGCTGTTTTGGGAGTCACATGAGCCTTTGGAAGAGCTGCAAAGATTTTGTCATCGTAGCTATTTTGGAATCTTTATTTTTCAGGTTAGTGAGATCTCAATTTATATAAAAGCTTTCGTTTCTTACATTTACTACTGTTTCTTACTACACGATCTAGTAGATAATATATATAACATAGTTTTGGTTTTGTTTCATAAGTATTTTAAAAGTTTAAATTGTTTATAACAAAATTAAATGTTTTAAGGTGGAGGTTCCTTTGCAAGTATGATTTGAATATGGAGAAGGGAAGAGAAATGTTGGCATTGGAGATATCCAGAAAAATAAGAGTAACAGGTTAGTGTTTATATTCGTAATAGCCTTAGCATGTTAAATTGATAGTAGTATATAATAGATGAAAACTACTTTACGTTTTGAAAAGTTGTTTGATATTAAGTTTTTACGTTTTGAAAAGTTGTTTGATATTAAGTTTTAACCTTTACTGCTACTGAGCCTGAAAAAGTTGACATAATATTACTTAAGCAAACCTGTTACTTTGGTTATACAAAGTAATTCTGTTTTTTATATAAGGTATGAAGTTCTGTATAAAAGAAATGAGTACACTATCAACTTTATTCTTGAAGTTGATAAGTTTATTGAATGTAGGCAAGAAAAAGAAAAAACGTTGCTTTTCTTCAAATATCTAATTTGAAAAACTCTGTTCTTCTGAAAAACATGGTCGGTCCCTGTAAATCATAAAGCAAAAAAAATAATGTTAGTAAAAATCAATTGTAAATAACCAAAATTAGATGACAGAGGTAATATTTAATGATACTTCTATCCTTCTGAGCTAAACCGCATATCTTTAAAGGTTTTGAAACACTTCTTTGAATACCACATTCATCGTCTGATTTTGTGGTTTCCCTGCTTTGTTCACATAGAACACTTTTAATCCTTTCTTAGAATTAACTCTCGAGACTGCAACATAGAGCAGTTCATGTGAAAAACATGGCCTAGGTAGATAAAGGCCAACGTTAAACAAAGGTTATTAGAGACATATAGGTGTATAGGTGTAGTAAGCAAAACAATAATACTTTTTGAAAAGTTAGACGTTAGCAAGTGAATAATACTTACAGAAACATTAGCAAGAGTCATGTCCATTGTCTCTCCTGTGTATTGAGTATATCGAGTCAAGGAGTGAACGATTTTCACTTAGATTTTCCAACATGTTTTGAAAGGTTTCACGTTAGCAAGTTCAGTGATAAGAAGATTAGCATCCATTTTTTAAAACAATAAAATAAGATGAAATTGAAGTAAAGCTTTGAATGATTGTGAGTTCTGAGAGGTGTAATCGAGTTTACTATATATATACTATTAGTCGATACAGCTCTCGTTTTTAGGGTTTATCCTTGTAAACATGAAAATATATTTGCGTATTAGAATTTAAAACAATCTGTAATCGAATATGCTTGATTTGATAGGATTAGATTATTTCGTAATTTTCAAATTAGGTAAATATAATAACTGAGATTAGATCATATTGAAAACAGTTATATCGCAATTGGATTTGTTCCTTATATTACGTGATTTTTTTTGCATCTTTCTTAAAATCAGTGGAGCGAATATATATTGATTTATTTATTTATGTTGCTTGCCTAATCTGCGATTATTATGATAGAATTAAGTGATTAGATATGTTAGTTATATAGATTATAGAAATCTCTTGAAATCTGAACTAATATTTTTGGCAATTATTTTCTGTAACAGATACAGAGAATATGGAGTGAAATAATTCCGTTTAAACATTTATCGACAGGGAAACAGGTCGAATTAAGGATCCGAGTCAATGACTGTATCAGGCTGCATAGGATCCGCGTGTTTATCCGAAATAATAACCCAGGATCCGCTTTCTGTAACTCATTAAATTGTCTTATTTAACCTTAAACAAAATTTTTAATTTACTCTTTGAATGCAAAAAAGCCAATGGCATTCCCTCGTAATTTTTTACACTTTATAAGGTTTATTATTAGGGAATGCTTCGCAATTAATAGTATAGATTGGTTTGTTTGATGTCAAGAGTGAATGACCAAATTTGATTTTTGTGAGTTACTTGATAAGTTATTTTATCTATATATTTTTATAATTTTCTTTGGCTCTGTCCCATAATCTTTTCCGGTGCCTTGAGCCAACCGTTAATAATAAAAATTTTTAAAGACATAAATCATTCTCCCAAAGTAGAGTTGAACTAGTGACCTTGAGTTATTACTTTCAATTTCTCATTTAACTACCTTCCACTTGGTAAATAATATTTTTATAGTCACGATTCACAAAAACAACTTTTTTTTTTTGTCAGCCATTTGATTTTATTGATAAAACCCAAAAGGACAGATTACAAAAGGTCCAATACAAAGGAGTACAAACGAAATAACAGCCTAAGCCCAAAACTAAATTATATTTTAATAAAAGATAAATATTAATGCGAATATGATTTAGATATGTTGACACGTGTGGAAGACGTGTTCTTCCCAAAGCCACGCGGCAAGACGTCGAGCACCACTGTCAATTTCGCCGGACACTGCTGAAATTCCGACTAGCCACCATTGATCAGCCTTGGAGCGATGAGAATCCTCCTCCCTTCTGCCGATCTCAAATCCAAGCCAAAAGCATCGAAAATCTTCCGGACTGACTAAAAGAAACCGCTTCCAAATTCTCCGAGCAACACCAACTCTGGGGAAGCTCCTAGTCACGAAAACAACTTTAGTCTAGTCATTGAATTTCTACTTCTTTTTTTGTATCCTAGTTGGAGCTTTGGAGGCCGAGCTAGTCATGGGCCAAACAGGCCAAACATTGCGGTCTTGTTAAAAATTATCTATTTTTCGGCCGTAAAATTACCAAAACGTCTGTTTAGTGTAAGTTGTTATGGCTTGTACAAGGGAAGATGATGGAAGTGGTTCGAATACCATGTTAAACAAATTCTTCTATTATCTTCTACACACACACTATTAGTGCCCATATTTTTTTTGGGTTTGTGGCTTTCATTCACTACAAAAAAATGTGTGTTTTACATCATTTTTTTTCTAATTTTATATCAGTTATAAATGATGCAAAAAAAAATAACATCACTTAAAAAAGTGACTCCAAAAGTGGTGATGCAAATATTTTGTATCAATTCTTTGTAAATCGATGTTAACATATATCAATTATAAAAAATGATGTTAAACTTTGTATCAATTAATATGAATGATGTTAATATTTGTAACGGTTATACTAATTGATGCCAATAATCATATTTCTATCACTTGTATCAATTGATGTCAAATTAGTATCAATTTTCATAACTGATTTAAAAAATTTGTCATTTGAATTAATTAATTTGACAATAATTAATTTAAAATGTTGTAATTTATTATTAATTTTTCAATAAATACGTAAAATGAAATATAAATTGGAAATCATTATATCATTTTATTATAATTATAATAGTACAACCAATGATAAAAAATTACAAACTAAAACATATAACTACAAAAATCTAAAGCAAAAGTATGATTAAAAGTGTAGACACAAATAATAACTAGGTAATGCTTAGCGGCAAGCCTTCTGTCATTGAGGTGGTGGTTTTCTTTGTTTGATAGGCTTCTATAGATGAATGTATGTTTTGTTCGTTTCAACTTCGTCTGCCATAGTTTAAATCCTGCAAGAAAAAAAAAGATAAATAATTTAAATCTTATGACTTATAAGAACTTGTTCCAATGCTTTGAAATAAACCAAGCTTGGGGATATATTTAATGTACTATCTTATATCATTTAGAAACTGAAATTTATAAAACCAATATGTATAATTTAGGATTCTATAGGAAAAATCAATGAACGAGTAAGAAATTAGTACATGAGAAGTGACAAAATTACAGAGAAGCAAACATGAGATTTGAAAATAGAAAGAGTTAGAAAGAGAAAAACACAAATATAAAGAAAAAACCATGAACTTATCTAATCGAATCGGCAAGATTGAGAGGTGTTTAAACTTCATGTAGTTAATGGTAAACCTTATTGTTCATCAATGGTGGATTTGAGTATAGAAAGAATGAGAGCGAGAGAGAAAACGAAAACAAGGTAAGTTGATCTTTAGAAAAAATCATGATTTTTTTTTTTAATTAGAGTAAACAGTTGTAGAATAATGTTTATAGAACGTGATTAGAGGGAGAGATATATATGTCATCAATTGGATAAATGATTTAAGTACTTGCATAATGAAATAAATGTTACAGAAGCAAGTTTAACGATTACTGTAGCAACTTTTGATTTCCTTCATGAGCTTATGTTTTTGGAAGTTTTGAAACTATTGTGTTTCATTATGGATGTTTTAGGTTATTATTTAGTTTAAAATTGTCGATTTATAAGACAGACAAGATAACTCGTTGGGTCTCGACCATTGCATTCACGTTATACGCTTAAAATGCTAAGACATATGTACAAAGCTCATCTCCAAACCGTGAAAGAGTACAGACAAGCGAAGAAAAATGGATCTCTTATTTGTCTAATTCTCCACAAGTGTACATTCTTGAATCTAACCCAAGCCTTTATTCTTTCATCGGATGAAAGTTTGTTATAATTAGTTAGTCATGTATTGCATGCAAATCGCGACGATATATACGATACAATTCTACCTGAAACATCTTTTTTTCTGATTTGTTCCCCACTTTTGGAGAAAGAGGAAATGAGGTCTAAAGACATTTTGGTTGTGTCGCCAAAATAAGATGCATGTTTCGACTTGCAGTTAGTTTCGGAATAGGCGCAACCACGTACGAACTGTGTCTATTGACATACTATTCCCATAACAATATATATCTTCAATGACAAAAAACCAACCATAACTTGTTACAATTACACATCCTTGATTCCTTTCACAACCGTGACATAAATAAATTGTTATTAGTTTATAATTACTGGGAACTGAGGAAAAGTGATAGATGTAGGCATGTAGCCCATAATTATTAGAAAGTAGAAAAAACAAGTACTAAATTTTTTTTAATAGGTGTGAAAATTCTTAAATGAATCTTCATGAGTCATATTGAGTTCTATTAGCTGGATGGTGTTTATATATATTATAGTTTTGTTTATCAATTATTAAAGTTGAATTTTTCTATACCTTTATGAAACTATTATTTTAACCCATAGTTATATAATTTAAAACATTCATATAACTTTGAGACTCAAACTTTTTAACCCATAGTTATATAATTTAAAACATTCATATAACTTTGAGACTCAAACTTTTTAGATAACTCTACTACATTCAAAATAAATAACTGGTTGTGGTTGTTTTAAAAGTTAAATTATTAAATAATGACAAAAGGGATAAATGCCAACTTGCATCAAATTATCACATTAAAACATTTTAACAAAAAATTATATAAAAAAAAATTAAATAAATATGCGCATTCCTCATTACGGTGCACGATAGCATAGATCAGAGTCGAGAGAGCCACTATTAACAAATTAGCACCGTTTACTTTCACTCGAAAATATTTTACTTAAAAACCAAAAAAAAAAAAAAAACCAAATTTTTATTTATCCTTCATTTTTCCGAAATTCTCGATCGCCGATTCGACGGTGTTTTCCGGCGATTCATTCTCGATGCGAGAATCGCCGATTACCTGAAAATAAAACTTTCACTGAAACCATAAACCCTAAAGTTACTGTAGTTATTAGCTCTTCTTGATTCCAAATCTTGCTTAAAGATTCGTGCTTTTTCGCTACTTCGATTGGATCTGCTTAATCTCTGGAGGAAGAAGTTTCAGAGATCTATTTCGAAGCTTTGTTTGTAATTTTCCCCAATTTATCAGTAAGATCGCTAACTCTATTCTCTGTCTTTTTCTCATTTCGTGAATTTTTAGGTTTTAGAAAAATTAAGCTACTTTTTACTTCACATATACTTAATTATCCAAATCTAGTTGATTAATTGTGTAATTCACTATGTTATGGTGATATAAAGATGTAAAGTTTGTAACTTTGTCTTAAAAAACGGAACTTGGAGATTCTAGATCTCGAATTTAAGGATGGTTGTAGTAAGTTAGTAAGTTCGGTTTTGTTTGAGTAAAAGCTGGTCTGAAAATGTTGTATGTGTGGTTGGTTAGGTATTGGTTTTGATTTATGTTATTCTTGTGAATGTTGTTTTGCAGATAATGATGATCTTTTGGTTCTTGAATATGGAATGTGTTTCGGGTTTTAGCTTGCGAGAACGGTGTTAGTTTCCATTTGTAGAGCTGCTGCGTTGTTGTTATATATTGGGTTGGTTACATGGAAGCTTACAGAGAGGAAGCTCTCAGAGTGAAACAAATCGCTGAGAGGAGATTTGCGGAGAAAGATTTCACGAGCGCTAGGAGTTATGCGTTGAAAGCAAAGTCTTTGTTTCCTGATTTGGAAGGTGTGTCTCAGATGGTTGCTACGTTTGAAGTTTATTTAGCTTCTCAGACTAGAAGTGGTGGTCAGATTGATTATTACGCGGTACTTGGACTGAAACCGTCGGCTGGGAAACGAGAAGTGAAGAAGCAGTACAAAAAGATGGCTGTATTGCTTCATCCTGATAAGAACAAATGCATTGGAGCTGATGGTGCATTTCATCTCATATCTGAAGCCTGGAGTTTCTTGTCTAATGAGTTTAATAAAAGCACTTTTTATTACAAAAGAAAGAAGCATATCGACTCCACGGTGGTTCAGAAGCACAGCACAGAGTATATGCCTGGGACAGGGACTGCGGTATATGATCGGTTTCCACCATCTTCGGAAAGGCTTGATACTTTCTGGACTGTATGCACATCTTGCAAAGTTCAGTATGAGTACTTGAGGAAGTATGTGAATAAGAGGCTTTCGTGTAAGAACTGTCGTGGAGCATTTATTGCTGTAGAAACTGGTCCAGCTCCTGTTAGTGCACCATTTCATTACACGCCCCCATCTCATGCGCCTCCGTCTCATGCGCCTCCATCTCATGCGCCTCCGAGTAATGGCTATGGCGCACATGGTTATGATGCTATGTCACGCATGCCCACCAATTCCACGTATTTCTTAGGGCACTATCCTGGGCAAGGACATGGATATGATTATGGTACGAATGGTTCATATGAATGGAGCTCGTACGCTGGAACAACCTCCCCAGGGAATCTGGATTTGAAGCGTGTGTCCTCAGTGTCCAATGGGTATCCTTATAAGCACAGCAACTCAGTAGTCAGCGCGGGAATAAATAAAGTCAAAGATGGTTCTAATGGGACATGCTCGAAGAAAAGCACACATGGAGGTCTGATATATCCTAATCCGCCCAGCATGTCTGCTCACGCGACTGTTAAGGTCGGCAGACCTGGGAAGAAAAGCAAAGTGTTTATGGAAGCTGCTGCTAATGGATTTGTTGAGAACCCTCTGAAATCTGTTTCAGTATCAAAGACAACGAATGCGGATGCCAAAATGGAACAGGATTACAAACTTCATCTCCAAAGTTCAACTAGACGTTGGTCTGCTGCTTCAGTATTGGATACACGGACACCTTTAATTCAAAAGGCCAGAACAGATATCAAGCAAAGATTGGAGATCATGAGATTGGCTTCAGAGGCAGCAGCGGCTGCAGAGGATGCGACACCACTTGATGAAAAAACTGTTATCTCCTGTAAGTTGGGAGATGTAACGGGACGCAAAACTAACGGGCCAATAACAGTTCCAGACTCTGATTTCCATGACTTTGATAAAAACAGATCAGAGGAATCCTTTGAGCCAAGGCAAATATGGGCAATTTATGATGAAGATGATGGTATGCCACGCCTATATTGTGTGGTTAGGGAAGTACTCTCGGTTCAACCCTTTAAGATTGACATTGCTTACTTAAGCTCCAAAACCGATATCGAGTTTGGGTCAATGAAATGGGTACAATACGGGTTTACAAAGTCGTGTGGACATTTCAGGATACGAAACTCTGACATAGTTGATCAAGTTAACATCTTTTCGCATCTTTTGAAAGGGAAGAAGACAGGGAGAGGTGGTTGTGTTCGAATCTTCCCCACAACTGGGGAGATTTGGGCTGTCTACAAGAACTGGTCACTGAACTGGGATGGATCAACACCGGACGAAGTGAGGCACCAATATGAAATGGTGGAGATTCTTGATGAGTATACTGAACAGTATGGTGTGTGTGTTGCCCCACTTGTTAAACTAGAGGGTTACAAAACCGTATATCACAGGAGCACGAGGGAGGAAAGTAAGAAGTGGATACCAAGGTGTGAGATGTTGCGGTTTTCGCATCAAGTGCCGTCTTGGTTTCTTAAAGACGCAACCAGCGGCTTTCCCGGAAACTGTTGGGACTTAGATCCAGCTGCAATCCCCGAGGAGCTGCTTCACATCGGAGCAGGAACCAATTGATTTCAGTGACCCTGTAAGAGAAAGAGGGTTTCAGATTAAGACCAAGTGTAAGAGTTGTTGTATCAGCGAAGATTATGGAGTTTTATGAAGGACTGTTGACACGCAAAACCATTATGTTTGGTCACTGAAGCTGTTGTATTAGGCAATGTTCAACGAGTAAGCAAAGCATAGATTGACTTTTGTTTGCTCTGTTGTTTCTTTTCTTTCTTTTTTTCAACTCTGCATTCGTTTCTTTGTTGACCTTAGTGATGACAGAATTTTTACGAGTAGAGTTATAAATGTAGCAATTATCTTTCTACTTTTTACCGCTTTTTGTTTAGTTATGGAATTTGCAATTTAGTGAAACATACCACAGGTCGAAACCATTTTAAAACTTTGAACAAAGTATGGTAGTTCCTCAATGCATGAAAATGTATATCTTATGCGACATTTATGTAAAAGTTCGAAAAGGGAAAATGTATTTGCTGCGCGTGTTCGACGCTGAGCCACACAATGCTTACTGCTGGATCAGCAGCCCGGTCAATAGTAGCCAAGGGACCTGAGGATTCGAGAAGTAGTGAAGAGAATAATAGCAGCATTTCAGATGATGAAAATCATTAAGGATATGATGAAGTTTCGAGTTCGGAACACGGAAACATCAGACAATGTAGAATCTCTGGTAGTAGCTCCAAAATCGTCACCTTAAATGTAAATGAATCCTCTGAGATTTGAACACTCTGGACTCTATATTTGTGGCTGTGTACAGAGGCCATCTCATGGGTGCAAATAAAACCTTCAGAACTAAGACTGAGAAAGAGACATCAGAAACCGCAAAAGAAAGCTTCGGGCAACCAACTGAGGAAGAAATGTGTAATGATTACCATTTGAGAGGTAAAGGGTTCTTCATCCATAGTTGGTTACAAGTTTGATATTTTTGTGTTCAGTTGTTGGATTTGGTTTATATCATGAAGATGTTCTTTTGGTTACAAGTTCTTAATGAAATAAAACAACACAACTACCATACTAAAGTCAGCAACATCCAACATTCTTAACATGATCTAAGCCCTAATACTAAACTTTTTAGTCTTTTAAAAACTAAAAAAGCTTAATCAAGTAGTCTAGTACCAAAGATTCTGTATAATCTGGTTTTCCACGGGTCAGCTTTGTTAGTATAGTAGGAGAGGATGCAGCACTCTATCCATGGTGGATTTCTTGGAGCCACAAAGTTCAAGCTTTCCCTTATTCCGAGCAACCAATTCCGCTTCTTCCTCAATGTCTCTGTGTCATGATACCCTAAACCCCAAAAGTACTCCTGCCAATAATACTCTAGATTAGGGTATCAGAGAAATCTGTGTTGACAGTTTAGATGCATATAGACCAAATGACGTACTTACAGCGTCTTTGTCGCATAAGAAAGCCTCTAAAGTCGCTGTTGGATCCTCCAGAGTCAACAAAACTCGGTGATGGCGATTCTCATTTGAACAAAAATCATCTACTTGCCAAGGATATGCAGTTACAACCCGAACAATGCATCTGTACTTGCATGTAACCTGTAATAACAGCGTAGGCGAGCACAGAAAAGTATTATTTAAATCTTTTCAGGGAATACAGAAAATTAGACTCATAAATGGTACCTTGGGGAATGTTATGATGTCCATAAGTGTAACAAATGGGGCACAATTCTCATCTGTCTCTGCAAGACACCAAGAATGTTAAAGAAGTCTGTCTAATGATCAAGAAAGCAAAAAGAAGTGTTGAGATTAAATCCTGCTTCTTAAGGAGAAGTTTTCTTTTAAGAGAGTGATAAGAGTATTGCAACCTGTTAATCCAGGAGGTGACGGAAAACACCAGAACGGAATGTGTCCCAATTTTGATGATATTCTCTTATTATATAGCCTAGTTTTGGGAACATAAGATAAAAAAGAAAACAAAAAAGTAAGAGATTCTCGTGGTAAGCAGAATCGGAAGTAATTAGCGAAAGAAACCTCAAGAAGTACTAACCTCATGATCTTTTCAACTAAACAATCATCTTGAGCGAGATGACGAACCTTTGTAGAGTTGGTAACTTTGATTACCCAAGATCCCTTATCAACTTCAAAGAGTAACTGGTAAAGTTCTACCCAATCACCAGGTTTAACCCGATGAAATAGATGACTGCTTAGAGAAACTCTCAAGATCGTTCCAACAGTTGGGAAGCTGAGCAATATATCTCTTGACAGTAAAGTATGAACAGAGAGACTGCTAAATGCCTTGTCTTCTTCACTTCTCCTGTTGATAGCCAACATTGTACACCAAATAGAAAAAGAGTAAGCATGCAGTGCAGTGCTAATCGATAATCCGAGAATTTCAAAAAACTTTTCCTTGAAATACTCACTTTGCCAGAATAGATGCTGGGGGTGCATCAGTTCCATCCCAAACAAAAACGGAGCTCATATCTTCATCGGCATGGAGAATCTCCATTAAAAGAAACAGCAGAAAACAGGCTAGGATCAGTCATCAAAAGATATAATTTGACCAAAAGGATAAGAAACCATCAAGTGCTATATTAAGAGAGTTACACAGTCACATGTAAGTTAAGAGTATATTACCCTGCACACCAAATCAAAGCGTTTTCCTTTCTTGATCTCTCTCAAGAATGAAAAAGTTTCTACAGAGCAGGGTTCTGTCCTGTAAGATATACTCTGCAAAGCTAAAGAAACAAAAAAATAAAAATAAAAAGCTTATGAGAATCATTCAAAGTTCTTCATTCAGTATCGATCTTAACCTATCTAAAGCCATTGAAGAGTTCTTGCGCATCATTACACCGCGGCAGACTCTAATACTGAGACTGTATAAATCCTGACATAATACACAAAGTTGAAAGCAAAACAAGCTCACATTGTTACCTCTAACAACTTCGCTACAACTAGCAAAAAATTTGCGTAGATCAGCCATCGCACTCTTGTATAGTGCTTCTTCTTCATGAAAATTCGAAGTACATTGATAACAAACAAAATCCGCACCTTCGAACAGCGCAAACGAAGAAACCCTTTTATTACAAGCAGCATTTACTCTTTTTCCACTATCAAAAGTTTGCATCTACAAAAACAAAAATCCAAACTTTACCTCCACAAAAATCAAAAGCACAAGGAAGAAAATGAAGACAGAGTCTTTGTACCTTGATGCATGTAAAGAGAATCATGTCGTCGTGGTTCTTGATTTGAGGAAGCTCTTCAAGAGTGTTACTAAATACATTCACAGTAAATCCAGGACTTGGATACGTATCATCAATTATCCTTAGCGTACAAATCCAATCTAAAATTGTAAAAAAAGTTTCCAACTTTCAGATTTTCGAATCAATCCCACACAAAAGTAAAAACTTTTAGGGTTTTCACAAGACAAATCCACTTAGATTCAATAATTGATAAGTGACAACAGTAGATTATAGATTCAAGCAAAATTCTCTGTATTTGATTGACGAAGACACGAAAATTTGTGGGGAAAAAAAAAGAAGAAGAAGAAATTTGTGGGTTTGGATTACCATTGTTGCGACATTGTTTTGGTTCTCTTTGTTCAAGAACGATACCAATGAGACTAACTTGTTGGTTGATGAGATTAATGGCGTCTTTGATTTTGATAAGCTTGGGACTGTCTCTCTTCCTCGCCATCTTCTTCCCCCAAACACATCTCCCGCTGTTTTACAATGTTTTTAGTTATATACTGATGTTAAATAATTAGAGTGGTTCTATGGGAAAATGACCATTTAATTTCTTAACCTTTTCAATTTGGTTAGATCCAGTACTAAACGTCTACTATCATTAGTTCCAGTACCTTGTCTACTGTATTCGGATTAGTTCCGGTTCGGTTTTGGTTCTAGGATTTAGGATCAGTTCGGATATTTTAAAATTTTGGTTCGGTTTCGGTTTTTTCGGTTTGAAAGTTAAGTATTTATTCGGTTATTTTGTTTCGGATCTTTTAGTTATTTTCGGGTATTTTTTGGTAATTATATATATTTTTCGGATATTTTTTATTATTCGTTCTAAAAATAACTAATATTTTCGATATATAATTATATTTCGGATATTTTCGGGTATCCGAAATACTTTTGTCCGATATTGGTTTGGTTCCGATTCTTTCGGTTTTAGAAATTTAGAATCCATTCTGGTATTTTCAAATTTCGGTTCGTTTTTTTTTTGCTTCGGTTCCGGATCGGTACTTTCGTTTCGATTAGTTGCCCAGGCCACATATTGTCTATTCTCCGATACAGGACAACTTTGATAACAGTCACAAAGACCATTGGCAAAAGAACCAAAATTTTAGAATGTTCTTATGTATTTGTATTAAAACGACACATTTGTGGCATTGATGTAAAAGGTGAAGAAACAAAGGTGAAATAGTTGTATACAAAGTTTCTTGAAAATACTAAGATTTTGTGTAAAACAAAGAAAAATAATAACTTAGATAAGCTTAGATATAATGCATTAATCTTCAGTTTTTTCGCATATGAATATTACACTTTCAAATATAACAAACATAAAAGTTTGAAAATGTAATCGAACGTCTTTAAAGATATATAGAACAGAAGAAAGCAGCCTTATGAATGTTTTCGATATGAGTGTCAAGAACTTGGTATATATGGAGATTAGAAGTAAGATTAATAAAAAGGTTGGCTTCGAGGAACTGGTGTGCACTTAAGCGGATGAACCATGCTTAGGTTCATTCCTTCATAAGTCTCTTCCATGTTGACCTTATCTCCTTTGATTTTCCAGTCAAAGTACTGTACCATCACTCCAATTGCGGTTCCTACAAATATATAAGCTAGATTACCTCCAGGACATCCTCTCCTACCGCCGCCAAAAGGAAGGTACTTAAACGCTTGCTCTTTCTCCTCATCTTTCCCACTTGAAGAACTTAGAAACCTCTCCGGCTTAAACTCGTCAGGATCTTCCCAAGAATCAGGATCTCTCATCACAGCATAAGCATTAATAACGAGTGTTGTCTTCTCCGGTATGTAAAACCCTTTGATCTCGCATCTTTCTTGGAATGTCCTTACCAAGAGAGGTCCCGGTGGATGCAATCTTAGTTCTTCTTTGACTACCGCTTGCAAGTAAGGGAGGTTCGGGAGATCCGTTTCTTGAATCAACCTTGTTTTCCCTACAACGGAATCAATTTCTTCTCTTACTCTCTCATGAACGTTACGGTTGTTAATGATCTCCGCCATTGTCCATTGTGTTGTTTGCACCGAGCTATCAGTGCCTCCAACGAAAAGCTCCTGCAGTAAAAAGACACAAAACATTTATAAGTAAATTTCATATGGATCCTCAAATGAAATCGACCTCACAGGAATATTTACCACGAAAAACGACTTGATATGATTCCTAGTGATCTTATACTCTATGTTTTCGTCTCCATAAGCTGCCAACAACACATCCATCATATCCGTACCTTGATGCTCCTCGTGTAGTTTCTCGTTGTGTTCCACAAGAATTCTCTCTAGCAGCTCATCGAATCTGTCTGAAACACCCATTATCTCCTTCTCGAATAGTGAGATCCCAAACTTCTTGATCGGCTTGCGCAATAAAGCTGCGAGGAACATCTTCTTGGTCAATGCATAAGATTCATCCACCAATCCCCTGACTTTCTCTGCCTCACCATTTTCCTCTGAAAAACTTCTTCCCATACTCATCCTGCACAAGGTGTTGTTCACAAGCTTCATTGCTTCCTTACTGATCTCAACGCCTCGGTCATTCTCGCCTTATCGAGAAGCCTGTTGTAAAACCGCATTAGCTCTTCATTACGGATACCTCGTGACCTCTCGAGTGATTGTGGTCGGAGCAGCTTAGTGGCAATTAGCTTCTTCATGAACTTCCAGTAATCTCCATAAGGAGCATTGACGATGCCAGAAGATCCAAACAGGAGGGACTCATCGATTGCAGCAACACCGCGAGAGGAGACGTTCACGTCATGGAGCTTAAAGATCTCGTAGGCCACTGAGGCTGAAGAGACGAGAATGATGGGGACACTAAAGATCCGTAGATGGAGGAGGTCCATACTTGGAGAAGAGTTTTTGAAGAGACTTGTGGGTTAGAGTAGAGAGGAGAAGGTGAAGATGACCAATGATTAGAAGAGAAGGAGGGCTTGGAGGAAGATCACAGCCTCGCGAGTCCTTTGGTTTCTTGAAGAAGATAGAGTAACACAAGAGTGAGAAATATTAGTGAAACATGATCGAGAGAGAATTTGGGAAAAACTCATATTTCTCATTAATGATTCAAGAGGTTGTTACAACGTTCATATACAACACAAGCTCACTAAACCAGAAATAACCACATGGTTAAACCCTTAATTAGATAATAAACCGAACAATTCCAGAGTCCTTAACCAATGCTATTATATACAAGTATATGTAACTATATACATGTCAATAGCCCTCCTCAAGATGAAGGTGCAAAGATGTTGCAGATTCCCATCTTGACAATGAGACTATGGAAAAGTGCAGGATGCAAAGGTTTGGTCAAAGCATCAGCAAGTTGATGTTCAGACTTGACATACATTGTCTTCAGAAAGCCACAATCAATGTATTCACGAATTTTGTAGCAATCTAAGTCCACATGCTTTGTTCTCTCATGGAACACAGAATTGTTTGCGATATGCAAAGCCGCAGTGTTATCACAATAAAGATATGCCGGTCTGGTAAAAGGAACTTTCAAATCAATCATCAACCTTGAAAGCCAAACCAATTCTTTAGAAGCCAATGCCATAGCCCTGAATTCTGATTCAGCCGAGCTACATGACACTGTGTCCTGTTTCACTGATCTCCAGGATAACAAAGATTCACCAATGAACATACAATAAGCAGTAACAGATCTTCTATCATCTGTACAAGTTCCCCAATCAGCATCCGAGAAACCTCTGAGATCAAAATTAGTGTCGGCTGGATAGAATATGCCTTGACCTACAGTACCTTTCAAGTAGCGCAACACCTTGTGAACAGCAGTGAGATGAATATCTCTAGGATCATGAGAAAACTGACACAATTTATTGACAGCAAAAGAGATATCAGGTCTTGTAATCTGCAGGTACATTAGCTTGCCCACCAATTTGCGATACTGAGTCGGATCTGTTAAAGGAACACCAACTTCTTTAGTCAACTTCACACTAGGATCCATAGGAATAGTAGATGGCTTACTGCCTAAGAATCCTGTAGTTGATAACAACTCCAATGTATATTTTCTTTGACAAAGAGAGATCCCAGCTTCTGTTCTAGCAATCTCCAATCCAAGAAAATACTTAGCCGGACCAAGATTTCTGAGCTTGAAATATGACTGCAATTCATTGATAAAATCAACCACTGCATCATCCTTATTGCTGACAATCAATATATCATCTACATAAACCAGAACTCCAAGTAGAACACCATCACTATACTTAATGAAAAGTGTGTGTTCTGCAACAGACTTATCAAAACCCATCATGACAAGGGTTGACGAAAGTTTCTTAAACCATTGTCTGGAAGCCTGTTTCAAACCATATATTGACTTGTTCAGCCTACAAACAGCTCTAGGAGGTAAAGAAATACCCTGCAAATCAGCATACCCTGGTGGAACTTTCATGTATATTTCTTCATCCAAATCTCCATTAAGAAATGCATTAGAAATATCAATTTGACTAACAGACCATCTCATCTTAGCTGCAAGAATGAATAGCAACCTGACAGAGGCTAACTTGGCAACAGGGGAAAAAGTTTCTTCATAATCTAAGCCCTCCTGTTGTGTAAACCCTTTAGCAACCAATCTGGCCTTATGTCTTTCAATACTCCCATCAGCATTATACTTGATTGTGTAAACCCATTTACAACCAATCGCTTTCTTATCAGGAGGCAAACTACAAATATTCCAAGTCTGAGTCCGTGTCATTGCTCCAATTTCATCTTTCATTGCATTACACCACACCTCAAAATCCTTAGCTTCTGAATATCTTTGGGGTAGGTTTTCATTTGTGATGATATTAATAAAAGCATGAAAAGGCTCAGATAAATTGGAATAAGAAATATAGTTTGATATAGGATGTACAATATTACTAGTAAAGTTATAACAATGAAAGTCCTGCATGTGTTTTGGGGGTTTTCTTTGTCTGCGAGACTTGGATTCAGAAGGAACCAAAGCCTCAGAAGATGTCACATCCTGATTATGGGGTGCATCAGATGATGTTTGCTCATTAAGCAATACATCGGGTATAGCAGGTTTTGGTGATAGAGGAAAGAAAAATTTTGTAGAATCCTTGATAGTGGACGATACAAAGGGATAAATTTCCTCATGAAAGATGACATGTCTTGAAACAGATACAGCGTGTGTCTCCAAATCTAATAGCTTATACCCCTTGTAACCACTAGGATAACCTAGAAAAACACAAGCCTTTGCTCTAGGATCAAATTTATGTCTAGACTTAGGAGAAGTAGAACTATAACACAAACATCCAAAGCTTTTTAAAAAGTTATAATCTGGTAGTTTGGTTGTAAGTTTCTCATAAGGAGACTGGTTATCTAAAACAGGGGTTGGTAGTCTATTGATTAGGTACACTGCTGTTAATACACAATCCCCCCAGAACTCTAAAGGAACATTGGACTGAAATAAAAGTGCTCTAGCAACATTCAAGATGTGTTGATGCTTTCTCTCTACTACAGAATTTTGTTCCGGAGTTTCAGGGCATGAGTGATATGCAATAATGCCTTTTTCAGAAAACAATGCATCAAATTTCAATTCATGTGCATTATCAGATCTAACAGACTTTATTTTCGTGTTATATTGAGTTTCAACCATGTGAACAAAGTTTGGAAAAACAAACAAGACATCAGACTTTAGTTTCATCAAGAAAATCCAAGTAGCACGACTATAATCATCTACAATGGTCAAAAAATATTTATAACCATCCCTAGTTTCAACAGAGAATGGACCCCAAGTATCAATATGAATTAATTCAAAAGGTTCATTACACATGTTCTGTCTAGAATGAAAAGGTAAGTGCTTTTGCTTAGATAAATGACAAACATGACAAGTATGCAATTGTTCTTTATTTTCCTTTAAAACTTTTAAACTCAATACATCAGAAAGTAAGTCTATTCTAGATTGAGAAGGATGTCCTAGTCTTTTATGCCATGTAATAGAATCAACAATGGCATTCACATTGACAGGAGCTATAGAAGGTATAACAGTAGTACCTTTTAAAGAAACAGAGTGATCTAATTCATTGAAATGCAAGACATATAAATTCCCAACTTCATTTCCTTTGCCAATCATCAACTCCTGTGTAAGATCCTGAATAAAGCATGCATCAGATGTAAAACTCACTTTAGTTCTTAATGTCTTTGTTAAAACACTAACACTCATCAAGTTAAACTTGAATTCTGGAATATAAAGCACATCATAGAGAGAGATAGCATCAGTCAACTTGATCAAACCTATGCCCACTATTCTAACAGTATAACCATTAGGGAGAGTAACAAAGGTTCTATCAAGTGGTCTATACTCTAGGTATAAGGCTCTATTATGTGTGACATGGTGAGTAGCACCTGAATCTAATACCCAAGCTCTAGGAGACACTGCTGGTTCTGTAGATAATGAACAAACAAGCATGTCGTAATAGGAATTTGAGTAAAGAGGTAGGAAGGTACCCGAAATCTGTGAGATTACAGGTACAGAAGTTAAAGTCGAAGCACAAGGCTGAGGAGGTGTGGGAGGTTCAACAACTGCAGAATGAAGCTTGGAACTCAGATACGAAATCATACTCTGTATTTGATCATTTGACATGTCCTCATGAGAATCTCCATGATCAACCTTCGGATCAGGATTAGACTGAATGTGTGTTGCAGCAAGATTTGTAGACCCAATGTTCTGAGGTTGCTTCCATTTTGGACCAGAACCAGGAGGGTATCCATGCAACTTGTAACACTTATCAGCTGTGTGACCAATCTTATGACAATGTGAGCATTTAGGTTTCTTAAATCCACCTTGAGCCAAGAATACTTGAGAATTATCCGGAGTAACAGAAGATGTCTGAACCTGGAAAGCAGAAGGATTGGTAAATGAAGAAGAGGAATTACCTCCAACCATCCGCTGACTTTCATCTTGGTCTAGCATGTTGTAGATCTCTGTTAAACACGGTCTTGGTTTCATATTCAGGATTTGACCTCTAATATTAGCAAAATTGTCATTCAGGCCCATAAGAAATTGAATGATTCTGCTTGTTTCAGCTTCTTCCAAGAGCTCCTTGACATGATCACAGTTACACTTCTTGACTGTGAGAATCCTGGTGTTAGCCAACTGTTCCCATAGTGTCTTCTTCTTAGTGTAATAGGCTGACAAATCAAGATTGCCTTGCTTGAGATTACCAATGGCCTGCTCAAGTTGATACTTCCTTGGAAGATTACTGACTCTAAATCGCAGAAAAAGATCATTCCACATTTCAGCAGCATCCTCATAATACAAGATGCTATCATAAATCTCCTTATTAACCACGTTCAATAACCAAGCCTTCACCATACTATTACATCTACTCCAGATTTTGAATAAACGATCATCAACATTAGGCCTAGGAAGAGATCCATCTACGAAACTCAATTTATTCTTCGCATCTAGACTCATTCGCATAGCAATTGACCAATTGTTGTAATTCGTACCATCAAGAGTATGAGAAACAATGGATAGACCTGGATGATCCGCAGAATGAAGAAAGAAAGGACTATGAGCATTATCAAACGACTCCATCCCCGCAGAAATCGCCGATTTGTCTCGATTAGCCGGAATCTGAGTGATCGGAGTTATCGCGATGTCATCGCCACCTGGAATCGAGGATCCAGCACGAGTCTTCATCGGCGAGTAATCCGATACAGGAGATTGATTCCGAGCTGGTGTTTTCTTCTTTTGTTTCGCCATAGTTGCAGAACGAAGCTCAGATGCGTAAAGAAACTGAAATCGGAGCTCACAAAGGTGATTTGAAGCTTCAATCGATAAGCAATCTTCGCAAATTTTGGAATCGTCGCAACAACCGGAGCAAGATAATGAAGAAAAAAAAACGAAGAAAAGAAAGAAGAATGAGAAGATTCCGATCAACGATCACCGGAAAAATAACGGAAATTGCTCTGATACCATATTAGTGAAACATGATCGAGAGAGAATTTGGGAAAAACTCATATTTCTCATTAATGATTCAAGAGGTTGTTACAACGTTCATATACAACACAAGCTCACTAAACCAGAAATAACCACATGGTTAAACCCTTAATTAGATAATAAACCGAACAATTCCAGAGTCCTTAACCAATGCTATTATATACAAGTATATGTAACTATATACATGTCAATAGAGGCATAGGAGGATGAAGAAGAAACAGTTCTGAAAGTCAACGCTGATAATTGCTGCCATTGTTGCTCAAAGTGAATGAGAGCTGAAACATAATCAAGAATCAGTTAATATATTAAGTATGGTCCATCATACTTTGTTTATTACTATAATAGACAGAAACTAGAATCTTGTTTTTTTTTTATATAATATAAACTCAGATCAAAAGATGACAGTCGTGATTAAATTGATAATATCAATAACTAAACTATT